AACCTTTAAAAATTCTGTTATTTAGGCAGGCGTTGGTGGTTCACGCCTTTAATCCCAGCACTCGGGAGGCAGAGGCAGGTGGATCTCTGTGAGTTTGAGACCAACCTGGTCTACAAGAGCTAGTTCCAGGACAGCCTCCAAAGCCACAGAGAAACCCTGTCTCGAAAAAAACAAACAAACAAACAAAAACAAAACCAACTCCAAACATGCTTGAATTGGTTTAATTGCATACAACTGTGCTACTGATTTTACAACTCCTGGCCACAGGTGCTCAGCTAATTATGTTTTTTTTACTATGTGTATATGCTAGACCAATAAAGGGCTTCTCACATTCCAGACAATTACTATCTACTGAGCTACATCTTTCTCTTTGTTTCCCCTGCTTCTCTTCTCCTTTCTTCCAGCCCCTTCTCTTGATCCTCTCCCTAACCCCAGGTCTTGCACATGCTAGTCAAATACAACCTTATCCCCACAATTGTGATTTTTGCAGCAAGCAAACTGGCTCTGTTTGAGTATTGGCTTTGTTAATGACTGTGGCATAGAGTTTCACTATCTAATGCCATTGAAGATTGACAGTGACAGTTACTGGATATGTCAGCATCTTTTGGTTTGTGGAGATAGGTGATAGTTTGGAATTTTTTTAATTTAAATTTTTATTTAGAGTAGATGTATTATGAAGTAACCTGTACAGATCTCCCAAGTATATAGGTTGAATTTTTATAGTGTTTATATAAATATTTCCATCACTTCCGAGGTTCCTTCATACTCTGGCAGTAATCTGTAGTGTTGCCTAGAGAATCAGTCATGTAGTGCTTGCAGCTGTCCTCACTCAGTGCAGTGTAGTGATGTATATTATATGCCAGTGCTTTGTCTTTTTAATTTTTATTTTTTATTTTATATGTATGGGTGTTTTGCCTGCATGAATATCTAAACCACATGTGTGCCTGGTGATCGTGGAAGCCAGAAGAGGGTGTTGATCCCCTGAAACTAGAGTTGGAGCTGATAGTGAGCTACCATGTGGGTACTGGGAATTAAACCTGAGTCCTGTGTTGGGACAGCCAGTGCTCTTAACTCCTGAGCCATCTCTTTTAGCCTGTTACTCTTTATTATTTTGTTTTTCCCAATGCATGTGTATCTCAGAATTTGTCTTCTCCATTCACAATTTGATAGCCATTTGGTTTTTCTGCTTAATTTTTGTGAATATAGGCATTTCTTTTGGATTAATGCCAAGAGTTGAACTGCTTGGTCAGGACAGCTTTTAGTAGGTTTTGATACTTCCCGTTTCCCAGGTTGGGACATATAGGTTATAGTCCTGAAAAGATGCACATACTGGCATATACAGCAATACAATCTTGAGTTTGTTGTTGTTGTTGTTTCTTTTTGTTTTGTGTGTGTGTGTTGTTTTTTTTTTGTTTTTTTTAAGGCTGAGTCTTCCTAGCATGGACTAGATTTGTAGTAGAGAATTGCTTTGAACTCCTGTTTTTGTCTACACCTCCCAAGTGCTAGGATTATTTAGTGTGCACTACTACACCTGGCTAAAACAAGATTTAAAAACAAAACAAAAACTTTGAAGCCAGGTGTGGTGATGATCATGCCGCCGATAATCTCCACATGCAGATTGTGGATATAATAAGGTTGGAACTTTACTTTGAAACAAAGTTTATTGTAGCTCAGGATAGAAGCCTACTATATAGCTGAGGATGACCTTTAAGGACCAAGCCACTTGCCTCTTACCCTGTACATCACAAAATTATGTTCATTCCCCACTGGGGATTATGCTGTACTGGAGATTAAACCCCTGTTTCTGCGTTCCAGGCAAGAGCTCTACCAGCTAAGCCTCATTCCTAGCACCTAGGTTGGGGTAGGTTTTTGTTTGTTTGTTTGTTTGTTTTAGTGAAATAAAAGCTGTTTTCAATTATTTAATGTTACATTTTCTCAGTTTATCTGTTGGGCTTATCACCCTATGCACTTTGGGATATCCTTCCTGGGTTTGTTAGGCTTACCTCTAGAAGTTATAGTTCCTCTAAGTGATTCCTCCTTTGTGATACCTTTCTTTCCTTAGTCTCTTAATTAAGAGCGAAAGAAACTAAAGTGTACACATATTTTAATGTCCAAAGCTAAAGAGTCAGTGTGTAGTGGGGCTAGAGAGATGGCTCAGCTCTGAAGAGCTTTAGCTGACTGCTCTTGTAGAGGACCCGTGTGCTGGTCCCAGTATCCACACGGCAGCTCACATCTGACTTCCTTAGGCACCAGGCATGCACATGGTACACATACATCTATGCAGGAAACACACATACACATTAGAAAAAAAAAAGAATTCAGTGTGATGTACATCATAAAGACCAGGTTACAAGCTATACCCACAAAAAGTCTCACCAACATGGTTGACTAGATACAACCTGAATAGTGAAAACACCAAGAGATACTCATGATGCCTCAATCTCAGACAGAGAACTACAGGCAACTAAGGAATGCAGGAGAAACAGTCTTCCCCAGGGAAGAGCACACAAATTGGCTCTGAAAATATATACATACAAATTACATTATATGGACTAAACAGATTGTATTCATATATTTAAGGACACACACACACACAATAAGAAAAAGATCATTAATTTGAAAGAGAACAAGGGTTGGTGGACACATGGGAGGGTTTGGATGGGAAGAGAGAAATGATATGATCTTAAAAATAAATTATTACTTTTTATTTTTACTTCGTATGTATTCATGTTTTGCCTGCAGGTATGTAAGTGTGAAGGTGTCAGATTTCCTGAAACTAGAGTTATGTACAGTTATGAGCTGCCATGCAGGCACTGGGAATTAGAAGAGCAGCCAGTGTTCCTAGCCACTAAGCATCTCTGCAGCCCCTTAAAAATAAATTATTAAAAAAGACAAGGTTACAGAGATAACGATAAACATTTTGTACAGTTTTGACTAAAGTGCCTATTTGTGGTATATACTATTATGAAAACAGAATCAAAATCTTTTCCAGAAAGGCATTTTATACTTTTTATTTTTTCAACAATGCTATGGATAAAACCAAGGGCTTCATGTATACTAGGCAAAGGGCTATACCACTATACTACATAATGATTTTTCTTTTAATGTTAACTATGACATAATCAGTTAGCGATAGCCACAGGAATGGTAATTAACAGCCACAAAAGTATGGAACTTAAAACTGTATCATTATTCCTTGTTCAGAAATTGTGGGCCACCTTTTATTGTCTAGCCTCACTTTATCTTGTCTATTCTGATGCTAGTAAGCTCTTGATGTTCCCTTAATGGTGGCAAAAGTACAAGAGCCAAGGGTAAACATTAAGACTACTGAGGGCTCAGCACAGTATTGTTTCTGCTGTCAAGACAGTGGCCAAAACAAGCCTCATGCTCAGTGTCAAAGGTAAGGAAATGTCAAGAGAAGTCTGATTGAAATCAAATGCCAGACAGCATACATAATAGGGAACGATGAAGAGTGAGTGACTAGTCTGAAAAATTAGGGGAAATTACAAACAAAAGTGCAGGTGAGAACCTAATGAGTCTTTGGGCCCCTCACATCTGGGGCCCTCTGGCAGAGCTGTAAATTACTGAGCCATCTCTCTAGCCCCTTCTTTGTTTTCTTATAAATAAAAAAATATATTAAGGGTTGGAGAGATGGCTCAGTGGGAAAAATGCTTGCCACACAAGTGTGAGAACCTGAGTTCCGATATCCAGAATCCACTGAGTCCCACAAGTTGTCCTCTGACCTTCACGCACACTGTGGCATGTGCATGTGTGTATACCCATACACTACATAAATACAGAAATGTAAAAAAATTAGTAATTCATTAAAATAATTGTAATAGAATCCCATGTATTATGTACTCTGATACAGGAGGTAAAGATAATGATCTCAGATCCTGTGCAACATATTTTCACTGTACTTGAATATCTGATGTCTAGTTTTTCTTACCAACACTATTTCCTAAAGCTACTCCATGCATTATGTAAGGTGAACAACTGTTGCTGTCAACTATAGTTAGAGTCTTACAGATACATTAAAACACATCAAGGCAGAACACAATCCTTCAGATAGATCCAGAAAGGTTTGTTCAGACAGACTTTTGTTTGGCTGTGTCCAGGTTCATCCTTTGGCTGGCCTCAAACTCACTAGAGAAGCCAGACAGGCCAAATCAGATATAGGCAATTGAGGTTCTCTCTTCCCAGGTGATTGTAGACTATGTTAAGTTGGCTTTAAAAACCAAACAGCATCTCTGTTTGGCTAAATTGCTTTCTAGAAGTATTAAAAATTTATGTTTGACAGTGATAAAAGATTAAAGAACTTTTAAGAAGTTTAAATGTTAGTGTTCTAGGTTAGAACTTATGCCTGTTGCAAAAGATTTCAGTTAAAGTGAATGTAGCTTCTAGAGGAATGTTGTGACTACCTATGGGGCAATCATATGACTTACTGTCTAGAGGAGTCACAATCATATGAATGCTGGCATAACAAGCAGAAATCAGGACTGCTAGCAGAACATTGCTGTTTGTCTGCAACATAAGTTAACAAGGTGTATTTCTGTGTGATTTTGGAACTAACAGTGACCCTTTGCTTTTAAAAATTGTGTAATTAAAAAAGAATTATATTGTGTATGTGTGTGTGTGTGCCACAGCATGCATGTCAGAGGACAACTTGTTGTGTGTGTGTTTGTGTGTTGTTTTTGTTTTTTTCAAGACAGGATTTCTCTGGGTAGCCGCTCTAGCAGTCCTGGAACTCATTTTGTAGACTAGGCTGGTCTTGAACTCACAGTGGTCTGCCTGCCTTTGTCTCCAGAGTGCTGGGATTAAAGGTGTGCACCACTACCTTCCAGCCTAGAGGACAGTTTGTAGGAATTGATTCTCTCCTACCTCATGGATCAAACTCAGGTCCTCAAACTTGGCTACAACTTTTCCTACTGAGGCACCTCACTAGTCCTAATAAGTAATACTCTTTTGTAAATAAGAATTTCTGTTTGTTTTACTTGTAGCCAGAGAATGCTGGAGGAGACCTAAAGGATGGCTGTCACGAGTATGAAGGAGCTGTTGTCATTCTGGATGCTGGGGCTCAATATGGCAAAGTCATCGATCGAAGAGTGCGGGAGCTCTTTGTGCAGTCTGAAATCTTCCCCTTGGAAACACCAGCCTTCGCCATAAAGGAGCAAGGATTTCGGTAGCCTTTGACTGATGTTTGAATTTAGATCTTCAGATGTTTTATAATTAGTTTACTTGGATACTGTGCTTTTTTTTTTTTTTTAAATAAAAACCCAACATGGATTTTTAGGAAATTTCCTATCGATTTAATTTGGAGCTTAAAAGGAATAATTTATACTTTCAGGCAAAAAGATTAGCTTGATGTCTTAATTTTTTTTTTCTTTCTTTCTTTTTTTATTTTTTTGGTTTTTCGAAACAGGGTTTCTTTGTGTAGCTTTGGAGCCTATCCTGGCACTCGATCTGGAGACCAGGCTGGCCTTGAACTCACAGAGATCCACCTGCCTCTGCCTCCCGAGTGCTGGGATTAAAGGCCTGCGCCACCAACGCCCAGCTTTTTTGGGGGGGGGCCTTTTTGTTTGTTTTGATGATGTGTGTCATCACATTTGTTCTAATTCTACTCCATTTTCCTCCCGATGTTCCTCCTTTCTCCACCATACAGGGTTTCCTTCTGTATATCAGAGGCCACCGCCTTTCAGTCTGTGGTCTAGGCAGATTTTGTCACCCTATGCAGACCCCCTTCATACTCTCAGGGTAGCTAATGTAGGGCTGACTCCAAGTGTGTTGAGTGTGGAGAACAACTACAGTATTGAGATCTGTACAGACAAAGGATCCGTGTTTGTACTTTCAAGACCTCCTGTATATTAAGTAATCACCCTGCTGGAGGGTTGCAGCTGAGGGTATCAAACACCTGTGCCATCAGAGTAGGACTCATTATAGGACTCAACAGCAGTGAATAGCAGGTGGCTTCAGAGTTTGATCTACCTGCTGGTCTCTGGCTCAGTTATCAAACTTGTGATTTACTCTCAGTTCGTGAGTTCTGCTCTTGGCCATCCTTAAGTACTTTGTAGCTGGCTCAGCCTCCACCCTTCTTTTCTGTGAGTTCTTGTTTCTGTTTCTGCTATTCTCCATAGTTGCTTCTCTGGGTCTTCAATTAGACAGGGCTTCCTGACCTGAGGGTGTTTACTAACCCAGTTCCCTGGCTTAGTTAGCTCAGTTACTTATTCATTTTGTATTCAATTATTTATTGAGGGTGTGAGTTGGGGCACATGCTTACCACAGTGTGTGTGGAGGTCAGAAGAAACTTAAAGATAGTTGGCGTTTCCCTTGGAAGGAATTCAGGTCAACAGGTTTGTATGGCAAGTTCTCCCCCCCCCCCCCCCCCAAGACAAAGTTTCTCTGTGTAGCCCTGGTTGTGCTGGAACTCGATCTGTAGATCAGGCTGGCCCAGAACACAGAGATCCTGCCTCTGCCTCCTAAGTGCTGGGATTAAAGGTGTGCACCACTACCACTGGGCTAGCTGAATAGTCATATTTTTGACAGGAAAAACTCAGCATCTTTTTAAAAATTAAAAAATTTGTTTTAATTTAATTTTCATTGTTTAAATTAATTTTCATTAATTTGCTTACATGTGTGTTTGTGTCAGGTGTCAGAAACCCTGGAACTTGAGTTACATACAGGTTTGAGCTGCCATGTGGGTGCTGGGAATTGAACCAGGGTCCTGTGGAAGAGCATCCAGTGCTCTTAATCGCTCTTCCAGCCCCCAAACTCAGTATTTTATAAGCTACATCCTCAGTCTTGGTCTCCAGAGAGTTCCTTCTGTAACCCAATGACCTTCAATTCATGACCCTCCTGCCTTTTTCTGTAGTGTTGGGGCTTTGGGTGTATACTACCTTACCTTTGTTTAGCTGTTTACTACCAGTGAATTTCCTTTTTTTTCTTTTATGTGTATAGGTGTTTGCCATGCACCATGTGTATCCCTGGTGGTCCTGCATCAGATCCCTTGGGACTGGAGTTACAGATGGTTCTGAGCCATAATGTGGGAAGTGAACCTTGCTCCCTAAGAGCCAGTGCCTTTAACTGCTGAGCCATCCATTTCTCAAGTCCTCAGAGCTGCCTTCTTTTCTTTTCTTTTCTTTTCTTTTCTTTTCTTTTTTTTTGTATTGAAAATAATTATTTTTCACATAATAAATTCTGATTGTATTTTCCCCTCCTCCAGATTCTCCCCACCCATCCAACTCTACACCTTTCTCTTTAGGAAAAAATAACACATTAAAAAAAAATAATAAAACCAGAATAAAGAAAGAAAAAGCACAAGAAACACAGAGACACATAGACACAAAAAAGCTCAACCCATAAAAATTGGAAACTATAGACCAATAAGGCTAAAAGCAAAAGCCTAACAAAGCATTATGATTTTGTGTGGCTTTCTACTCCTGGGCTTGGAACCTGTCCTTAAGTGTGGTCTGAATACCCAGTGAAACCCCATTGGAGAAACTTAAGTTTTCCTTTGCAAGCAGTTTCCACCTGGAGGCAGCTTCTTGGCTAGGGGTGGGAGATAATGTCCACTTCCCTTCTCAGCTCTAGGACCCCATCTGGTTTGGACCTCAGTGGACTCTGTGCATGTTTCACAGTCTCTGAGTTCATATGTGTGTCAGTCCTGTTGTATCTGGAAGATACAGGTTACCCATCTTCTCTTGCAATCTTTCTACACTATCCCTGAGTCCCCTGGGGAAAGGGTTTGATGTAAAAGTGGCATAGATATTTTATCACTGTGACTTTTATTTCTTTGGTCCTTTCTGCTGGAAGTTATATTTGGCCATTTCTTCTTTGTTTTTGTTTTAGAGCCATGATCTCACTATGCAGTTAGGGCTGTCCTGGAATTCAGTATGTAAATCATGCACAGAGATCCACTTGCCTCTTGGCTGGGATTAAAGGCGTATGCCACCACACCCAGCTTGACTGTTCTTTTAGTTCTTTTAGTATCCTGACAAACATGTTGCCCACTTTTTGTTTATGACCTTCACCTGCATGATGCATATAACTTGTTGGGTCTTATAAGACTCAGAGAGTGTGGTTCACTGAAGTTAATGAGGGTTTTCACAATTGGTTTAAGTACTTCTGGAGTTTTATCCTTTATTTAATCTTTTAAAATTTTATTTCCTGTTTAATACTACTAAGATTCTTATAGCCTGAAGTTGTTTCATAGATTGGAATAGACGAATGAAGGATCCCAGGCACAGTGGTTATTGTTTTATTGACAGGGTCTCACTACAAAGCCCCAGTGGTTATCTAATAGAATTAATTAAATATGGAGCTGGCAAGATGGCTCAACAGGTAAAGGTACTTGCCAATTAGTCCTGATGATCTGAATTCCATTCCTGGAACTCACGCAAAGGTGGAAGGCGAGAACTGACTCTGTATGTTCTGATTGCCACAAGTGCTGTGGTATCTGCAACCCACACATAATTCAGAAATTAAAAACCAAAAATTTAAACATAATTTGTGATCCTAGAGTTCCTGATTATTAAGTGTGTTTGCTTTCCCCTCCCCTCCTCTTCTGTTGATCCAGAACCTTTTATAAGATGGGCAAGTGCTCTACCACTGGGCATTATGTGTGTCTTATAGAATTAGTTTTGTTAGGAATTAAGTTATATATCTATTCTAGTGCTATCCCAAACTTTTTTTCCTCCAACTTTATATGTCACAGTACTGAATATTGTTGTATACTCTGTCACTAAGATTATAGTGCCCCAGCTTCCAGTTTTCTGTTTTGTTTTCGCCTGATTCTTTTTAGATAGGTACTCTTCTGTAGGCCTGTTTGGCATCCAGCCATGATCTTCCCGCATAACTTCTCAGGTGCTGTGATTATAGACATGCACCACTATGCCTAATGGTTTCTGATTGTAGCTGTTCATAGTCATGCAGGAGTAAATGCTTAATGTCTAGTTACTTGTGCCAGTGTGTGCCTATTTCCCCAGCACTCACAAAGCTGAGGAGGTGGATAATGAGTTCCATTTAGACTTGGCAACATAGTGAGCCTGTCTGAAAAAAATTCACATCAAACCAAATAATAAAGTTTGAGTTTTTAACCCCCCCCAAAATACCAGTAAACATGAATTTCTCGTGATAGTCCCATTCCTGAAACATTTTTAAGTTTTTTGAATATGCAGAATGTTTTGTTGCCAATTGTAACTGCGCTAAATTGACAGGATTGGGCTAAACTTTAAGAACTGGGCATATGGTGCAAAATGGGACAGATGTTGAGGATGTTAATTAAAGATTATCAGTCACATTCTGCACTGACTCTTTCAATCCACAGGGCTATTATCATATCTGGAGGACCTAATTCTGTGTATGCAGAGGATGCTCCCTGGTTTGATCCAGCAATATTTACCATTGGCAAGCCTGTTCTTGGAATTTGCTATGGCATGCAGGTACAGCTGCAAATTGAGTTTGGGAGTTGACTAAATGTTTTATTTTTATGATTTTAAACACTGTTTGTCTCTGATAATTGGGCATATTACTCCTGTGTATTGATTGCTGTACTATGGTAGAGTTGACCTTATAAGGAAACCTGTTTATAAATAACTAGATTTCTTAACAAACCACCATCTGTCTGTCTGTGTGTCTGTTTATTTGAGACAGGGTCTCACAATGTAGTCCTGTCCAGCCTGACTATGATAACAGATAATGTTAAGCCAAAACATGCTTAAATCTCACATATCAAAAAATCACCTTTACCGAACAAGTTCTAAAGGAATAGAAACATAAACCAGGTAAAAATTTAAAAGTTCTCCCTTACAGTTATAAGCCAAAAGATGATTGAATTATAGTATTTAAACAATGTCTTACTTGATTGGATCATCTGGAAACAGCTAGAAAGCATCCTTGAATAATGTATTATGATTAGTTGCATATTAGTACATTTTATGAGCCCTCTCTTCCTTCCCCTCTCCTTTCACTTCTTTTCCTTTCTCCCTCTATCCTCCTGCCCTCTCTTTCAACTTGCTTAGGTACAGAACTTTTTGCTGCATAGTCCAAACTACCTACAAGTGGGTAATCCTGCTGAAGCCTCTTGAGTACTGTTAACATTTTCACTTAAAAAATCATCTCACCCCTCCTTCCCCCATATTAGTCAGGGTTCTCTAGAGGAATAGAATGAATAGAATGAATATATATTGAGTGGGAGAGAGAAAGAGAATTTATTAGAATGGCTTATAGGTTATGGTCCTGCTAATCCAACAATGGCTGTCTCCCAGTGGAAAGTCTGAGAATCCAGTAGTTTTTCAGTCCATGAGGCTAGATGTCTCAGCTGGACTTTAGTATATATCACAATCCCAGAGAAGTAAGCTCTAATGCCAGAGGTGAGCGGACAAAGCCAAGATTTTCTTTCTCCCTTGTCCTTTATGTTGGCTGCCAGGAGAAGGTGGGGCCCAGATTTTGTGTGTTTGTGTGTATGTGTGTGTGTGGGGTCTTCAATCTCAATTGTATTTAAGGTGAGTCTTCCTGTGTCAAATGATTCAGTTAACTACAAGTTCCACACAGATGTGCCCAGCAACTTAGTTTTCAGTTAATTTTAGTTGTAGTCAAGTTGATAACCAAGAACAGACATCATATCCCCCTTTCCTCTTGAACTCAAAAAAAAAAAAATTTTTTTTTTAAACCAAGAAATTCTTAAGGTTTTTTTCTATGCCAAGAATAGCCAAGAAACTAGAGAGATGGTAAGTGGTTAAGAGCAGAGTTTGAGTTCTAGTACCCACATGATGGTTTAAACCAGCAGTAACTGTAGTTCCAGATCTGCTCCCTCTTCTGACTTTCGAGGACACAGGAATGCATGTGGTACACATACATACATCCAGGCAAAACACTAACACATTAAAAAAAAGGTTTTAAAGAAAAGCCAAATTAATGTATAATCATGGATTAATGTGTTCAGTTTATAAACTGCCTCCCTCACCCCCCTCCCCTTTGAGACAGGATTTCAGGATTTCTCTAAGTAACAACTCTAGCTGTCCTGGTACTTGCTCTGTTTACCAGGCTGGCCTTGCACTCACAGATACAGGCCTTCATCTACTTCCTGAATGCTGAGATTAAAGGCATGCACCAACATTCCCAGCTATAAATTGTCTTATGTTTTCCCTTTTGCCTTTAGCATGTAATGAAGGAAAAGAAACAAGAAATTTTTACAGCAAATACACAGAATAAATATTGTAAAAACAGGGTTTTATGTAGCTTATTCTGGCTTCAAAGCCTTTGCTTTGTGGCTAAGAGGACCTTGCACTCTTGATTCTTCTGCCCTAATTCTTTTTTAATATATTTCCAGCTATTGAAAGGGTAAAGATTATTCTTTGATTACAGGGGAAGTTAAAACAGATTGAGGATACACACCATAGCTGACCAGTTTTGTGGTTTACAGATAAAGTTCATGTCCTTTATATTATCATTTGTAGTAGTAGTATTATCCTCTCACCCTCCCCCTTCCCCCCCAGACATGGTTTCTCTGTATAAAAACCCTGGCTTCCTGGAAATTGTTTTATAGACCAGGCTGGCCTCAAACATAGAAATCCCCCTGCCTCTGCTTCAGAGTGCTAGTTTTAAAGGTGTGCTCCACCTTGCCTAACTAAATGCCCTTTGTATTAAATACAAGACTTCATTGTGTTTTACTAATGTCTAGTTTTGCCTCTCATCTGTCATTCTGTAATTCAACCATTCAAACTTGTTTTATCACAGAGGATCGTATATTTTTCCTTTATGCCTCTTAGGCATCTTTGTAGAAATCCTGTGTTGGTGCTACAGTTCTTAACTGCTATGGCTTTTTAAATCTCAGAGTGCCTTGGTGGTTTTAAATTAAATTCTGACCTGAGGGAATTTCTCTTTTTGAGACAGGGTGTCACTATGTAGCTATGGCTATCCTGGAACTCAATTCTGTAGAGTAAGCATGGCTTGAACCCACATAACTTCACTTGCCTCTGTCTCCTGAGTGCTGGAATTAAAGACATGCTGCTACACCTGGCTGAAATTTCTCTTATTAATGTAAATTAAAGTATACCAAATGGAAACTCTATCAGTGTTCAACAGAAATAAATCTCAGGCCAAATTCCTTGTCAAATTTTGCTATAAATTCATGCCTCTTAATTTTATATGTAGTGATTATAGTTATCTACATTTATTAAACACTTGTTTATGCAGATGTATTTATGTTACAAGAAAAGATTTTGAAAGCAAAGGATATAAATAATAATTTTTAGCATGCAAACTTCTTTTGATTCATTAACATTCTTTTTTTTTTCTTTCTTCACTAGATGATGAATAAGGTTTTTGGAGGCACTGTGCATAAGAAAAGTGTTAGAGAAGATGGAGTTTTCAATATTACAATGGACAATACATGCTCACTGTTCAGGTATTATTTTTTAGTTACATTAATTTTGTGTCCACTTATGAATGTATGTCACAATGTGTGTGAGTGTGTGTGTGTGTGTGTGTGTGTGTGTGTGTGTGTGTGTGTCAGAGACCAGCTTTTGGGAGTTGGTTCTCACCTTCATTAGGCTTGGTGACAGATGCCTTTATCAGCCCAGCTATCTTCTTAATCCCATGTATTTTATTTATATATGTGTATATTAAATTTTTGTCATTTTTATGTATGTGTGTATGTATGTATGTATGTATGTATGTATGTATGTATGTGTAAACGCCATGGGGCATGTGTGACATTTGGAGGATAGCTGGGAATTGGTATTTTACTTCCACCATGTGGGTCACAGGGGTCAACCACTTCAAACAACATAATTTTGGTTTTTTTTTCTACACTAGAGCTCCACCTTGTGTGCTGGTTGTACTTATTTCTAGGTGTTTTTGTGTTTTGCAATCTACTTTTGAATAATTAGCACATATAATTATTTCTAATATGAGAGATTATAGAATTTTCATCCAACTGTTTTGATTTTAATGCCTCTTACTCTTAAGCTGTATTTAGTGTGTGTTTGTGTGTATTCTGTGTATGTGTATACCTGTTGAGACAAGAAAAGGGTGTTGGATGGAGCTATAAGTGATTGTGAACCATCTAATGTTGGTACTGGAAACCAAATGTGGATCCTCTGGAAGAGAAGTAAGTGCTGTAAACCATAGAGCTGTCACTCCAGCATCATATCTCTTACACTTAATCTGAAAATCTTGTTTACTGACTGCATAATAACATGTATTTTACTATACAAATAGCTGCAGAATAACAGTATCAATATTACTTTTATGTGTGTGTGTGTGTGTGTGTGTGTGTGTGTGTGTGTGTGTGTGTGTGTGTGTGTGTGCGTGTGTGCGCGCGCGTGTGCTTGTGTGCCTCTGTGTGTGTGTGTATGCTCGTGCTCCCTGTGTATGGTGCCTGTGTGTGATGGGTGTATGCACACATGTGCATATACACAGAAGCCAAAGGAGAATGTTGGACATCCTATTCTTTGCTCTCTGCCTCATTCTCTTGAGCTAAGGTCTCTGACTGAACCTGGAGCTAGGCCAAGAAATACCTGTGACTTTTCCTGTTTCATTAACCCACAGGAGTTCTTGGTCCACATGTGACTGTAACTGGCTTTTTATGTACTGGGGATTTGAACTTAGATCCTTGTGATTATATTAAACCACTGAGTGAGCCCCAGTTCTCAATTTTTATTAGTTGCCTTCTTTGAGATTTAATATCCTTTATTGACTTTATTTATAATAAAATAATATTTATATAAGTATAAAAAATAAATTATGTATATATGTATAAATTCTAACAGTGTTGCATTGCTATATAACTTTTACCCCCTACATTTTCTTAATCTACCATATAGTAAACTTCTATTTGTAAACAAAATGACTGTTTTAGTTAGGGTTACTAATACTGTGATGAAACACTATGAAAAAAGAAACTTGGGGAGGAAAGGGTTTAAGTCTCCCACATGACTGTTGATGATTAAAGGAAATCAGGACAGGAATTCTAGCAGATCAGGTACCTAGAGGCAGGAGCTGATATAGAAGCCATGGAGGAGTGCTGTTTACTCCCAATGTCTTGTGCAGCCTGATTCCTTATAGAACCCAGGACAACCAGTCCAGGGGTGGCACCATCCATATTGAGCTGCCCCTACCCCCATTAATCACTAATTAAGAAAATACCCTACAAGCTGTAGGCGTTATGGAGGCATTTTCTCAATTGAGGTACCCTCCTCTCTGATGACTCTAACTTGTTTCATGTTGCCATAAAACTAGCTAGTACAATAACTTACTGTTTACTGATATGGTTCTCATTGAGATATTTGTGTGTACATTTAAAAATCTTTCTTTTTATATGTTTAGGGGTCTTCAGAAGGAAGAAATTGTTTTACTTACACATGGAGACAGTGTAGACAAAGTAGCTGATGGATTCAAGGTTGTAGCGCGCTCTGGGAATATTGTGGCAGGTAAAAGTTCTAAATTTTGCACATTTCATCTAAAAAAATTTTCAGAGTAATCACGATGAGATACTTTTGTAATCTGTGAGATACTTTTAAATAAGTCTTCATTTGAAATGTTTATTTTCACATTTATTGTGTCTGAGGGTCAGAGAACCTCTTAAGGGCTCTTTCCTCCCCCTATTTATATCCCACTGATTGAAGCTTTGGCATCAAGTTCCTTTACCCACTGAGCCAGTTTCTGGACTCTTTCTTTCTTATTTTTTCCATAGCTGTTGTCAATGTGGTAGGATCTATTATTAACCAAGGGAATTATTCAGAAGTCACATAATGCTTTAAAATACTAAAACTAAAAAAAAATTTATTCATGTGAATGTATGTGTCTGTGTGTGGTGTGCAAATGACCTTGAATATGAAAACAGGTGTTGTGGTTTGTATCTAATCCAGCATTTAGGAGGAAGCCCCCACTGAGCTGGATGGGAATCTCATTTCAAAAAGCAAGCAGGCTAGTGAGCCTTAGTGTGATTAGAATTGCTCTTGTTTTGAGGGAAGTTTTAATGGCAGATAGTGGTCCCAAGCTGGGACTATAATGAGAAATGCAAGTAGAATATGCACAATTTGAGCAAGGGTAAATCTGACTCGAGAGCGAGGTAGTGGGGGCTTTGAGTGATTGTAAAACCTTGGCTTTATTTCTGGGTAAGTGGTGTTCTGAATAAAGGATAGGCATGATCTAATTTTAGGATTATGTTACCATGAGGAGGAAATAGACTTGGTCATAGTAAAAGCAGGAAGGTGGTATATTCTGGTGATCGGGGGAGAAAGGTGAAGAAATTTAGAGCAGGATGGTAGGCAAACTAGTCACATCTTTGGATTGTGGTAATGCTCTGAATGGATAGACAAAAGATTTGTTTCCTGGATTGAGTATGGAATAGCAAAGGTAAAACAATCAAGTTTTAAATGCTGGATTTTTTTTCCCCTGAATATCATCAGATGGGTAGAGTTTCTATTTTCTTAATGGGAAAGAACTCAGGGGTTTGGGTTTGCACATGAAGCTCAAGATGATGAGTTAAACACCAAAACAAAGGTGTCTAGTACACAGTTACACATCTTTTTTTTTTTTTAATTTAAATTAGAAATAAGCATCTTTTACATGTCAATCTCAGTTCCCTCTCCCTCCCCTCTTCCCCTGCCCCCACCAACCCCCCCCATCCCAACCCCTTTCTGCTCCCCAGGAAGGGTGAGGCCTTCCTTGGGGGACCTTCAAAGTCTGTCATATAATTTGGAACAGAGCCTAGACCCTCCCTCCCCAGTGTGTCCAGGCTGAGAGAGTATCCCTCTATGAGGAGAGGGCTCCCAAATTTCATTTGTGTACTGGGGGTAAATACTGATCCAATACCAGTGGCTCCATAGATTGTCCAGACCTCCAAACTGACTTCCTCCTTCAGGAGTCTGGAACAGTCCTATGCTGGTTTCCCAGCTATCAGTCTGGGGTCCATGAGCAACCCCTTGCTCAGGTCAGCTGTTTCTGTGGGTTTCTCCAGACTGGTCTTGACCCCCTTTGCTCACCACTCCTTCTTGTCTGCAACAGGATTCCAGAGTTCAGCTCAGTGTTTAGCTGTGAGTTACACATCTTGACTTCAGAGGAGTATGCTAGACTGGAGGTATACGATGGGCCTAAGAATGGAATATTAGGATCATTAGAATATCGGCTCACTTAAGATTGTGTGAAGAAGACAGCTTCCATGTAGAGATAGGCTAGAAGAGGGACCAGCAGCCAAGAGTAAGAAGGAGCAAACACTGAAATAAAGTAAACTGAGAGTGGTATCCTGAAAGCCAAATAAAGTGTAAAGTGCTTTGATCTTGAGCCTGCCAGGCATGAGTTAGTTACTTAAGAGCAAATTTCTTGATGCATGGATCATAAAATAAAGATACTAATTCCCATGTAAAGCCCCTAGCCCCAGCACTTGTTGCTTGGCAGACAATTTGTTAAGCACTATAGTCAAGTAGGTGAAATCATATAGTAAATGTCCCTAGTCTGAATATCTGAAATATTCCACAATCCAAAACTATTTGATTACTCGCTTGAATTCATAAGTTGCAAGTACACTTAAAATAGTGTATAATTTTAGACCACTTGTCTATGATATATATCAGTGAATTTTATGTTTGTACTTGGTTTTCATACAAAAATTAATGCCAAAATATTTGTGTGTAACAATGTGACAAAACTTTTTCTGAGGAGACACAACATACACTTTCTACTTGCCCCAGATAGGGAATCCATGACAGACCAAAGTATGGATATCACCAGAGTCCAATTTAGTGAGCCAGTGAGTTTCACTGGGATTTCTACAGTAATATGAGTGAGGTTACTTACAGTAACAGAATGACTTAGCTGTATCACCAAAGTCTATCCCAGTATGGGTGTAATCTCATAAATCTGGGAACCTGGAGCATACTGCACAGCTTATTGGCATCTCAACAGATTGGAGTGTCTGTTCTAGGTTCCTAAACTGTTGTAAAAGTCTGTCCAGGCAGCTCGATTGGCTTCTGCTTCTTCCAGGCAGCTGGCCTGGTCTCAGTCTTCTTTGCAGCCCAGTTTCTCCCATCCTGGAGGGACTGATTTTATTGCTTACTCTGTTCCGTCTAGTGAATCTGGTCAATTTCAGGGACTTCCTGAAGCTGTTTAAGTTGTTTACCTGTCTGCTTAAGGAGCTTTCTGCAAAATGGAATATTTCAATCTTAGAAACTGTTACACCAGAACATCTTAAACACTTCTGAACCCAAACATTTCTGAGTAGCATTGCTCAACCTATATTTGTAGTAAATAAAACTCAAAAAGGAAATAATAGAAAATACTGAATAGTTTAATGTGTGGTCTTTTTTTTTTTTAATGTTGGGAATTGGAGGTTGTCGAGTATATGTGGAATCCATGTAGGACTGAGAACCAAAATAGAGTTGTTTTCTATATTAAATACACAAGAAAACTGAAGTAGTGGTAGAGATATGACAATCTAGCAAAAAAATCTCTTCCCTGTCCTACAGCTAATTTTTCCCCATATACTTATAAAGGTTATGACAGTGTAGCTTTACTTATGTGTTTTCTTTCTCTGTAATTAAAATTTGAAGTAAGGCATCTACGTTTAACATAGGAGAAAGATTTTGAGGAATGGATTGTGACTATTAGTTGTTGTTTTTCAACATAAAATTGGTTTGTGACTGTTTTCTCCATGAAGGTATAGCCAATGAATCTAAAAAGCTATATGGTGTACAGTTCCACCCTGAAGTTGGCCTTACAGAAAATGGGAAAGTAATACTGAAGAATTTCCTGTATGATGTTGCTGGCTGCAGTGGGACCTTTACTGTGCAGAACCGAGAACTTGAATGCATTCGAGAGATCAAAGAGAGAGTAGGGACATCAAAAGTATTGGTAAGCAGTTAATCACCTGGGGGTCTACAAACTTAACAGCTGGGTTGCTTAGCCTTGACAACTGACAGGGTACATATATAATGTGTGTGTTACATCACCCAAGATGCATATTTTCAATATATCTTTAATACTGTACGTATCTTTAACATATAAAACACTTAAGTAATTATACAAGGTGACAGTGTTTATTTCTTGTTTTATTTTTCTTCATTTTATTTACAGGTTTTACTTAGTGGTGGTGTAGATTCAACTGTTTGTACAGCTTTGCTGAATCGTGCTTTGAACCAAGATCAGGTTATTGCTGTACACATTGATAATGGATTTATGAGAAAACGAGAAAGCCAGTCTGTTGAAGAGGCCCTCAAAAAGCTTGGAATTCAGGTCAAAGGTATTAGTTAATCATGAGAAGTTCATTTACACCACACCAGGGTTTATCTCTTCAAGCCTACTTTTCCCTGTAAACTTGAGGCTGAAAATATCTTACTTCACATGTATAATCTCCTCTGTTGCAAGAAGGGTTCAATTGCTATTTGGCTTTTCGGCTAAGATTAAGTGTAGTATCAAGAAGTGTCCAATATAAGATTTAGATAATATGGACTGTTGTACTAAGATATTGAAATTGGTAAGTTGCCATTTTGCATCTACCATTCTATCCTCTTCTGTTTGTCTTCCCTGTCCTCTCAAAATCTCCCTTTCCTCCCTGATTTCATGGCATTATTTTTGCAAGTATCTAAGCTCTTCTGCAAATATAGGTTGTTTTGCACCCAGGCTCATAATAGAGAAAGGAGATTAAAAGTCTATTATTAGCCAGACATGCTTGTTGTATGTATCTGTAATCCTAGCTACTTAGGCGACTGAGGCAGGGCAAGCATTCGCTATCAGGAGCTTGGAATTAGCTTAGGTAACATAGCTAGACTTGAAGAAATAAAGCAAGCCATGTTGGTAAAGTGCTTTCCACACAAGCATGAGAACCTGAATTTATTTTTAGGACCCATATAAAAAGCCAGATGTGTCCTTATGCTTGTAATCCCCAAACTGGGAAAGGCAAAAACAGGCCAGTCATTGTGCTTGCTGGCTAACTGGTCTGCCCAAACTAGTGAGCTCCATGTTTAGTGAGAGAGACTATATTAAAAAAAATTGGTGGAGCACGATAGAGGAAGACACATAATGTCTGCATGCACAGCTGAGTGCTTGTACATACAGAGTTTATGAAAGGTCAGAGATCCTCAGTTACTGTTACTTTTGAGGGGTGGGGGCGTTTAGCTTTTTTGAGACAGGGTTTCTCTGTGTAACAGTCCTGGATGTCCTGGAATTCACTCTGTCGACCAGGCTGGCCTTGAACTCACAGTGATCCACCTGCCTTTGCCTCCGAGTGCTGGGATTAAAGGTGTGCACCACTGCTGCCCAGCAATGATAATGACTAGTAAACTTATTTTTTAGTGACATTTACATTTATGGATATTTCTTAGTCTCTAAAAATGGTATAACTGGGTATAGTGAAATGGTATAGTAGATTAAAAATACAGTGTACACAGCTGTATTATTAATTTAATTGGCATTGATGCTACAAGACTGGGTTTAAGGTGATGACTCCTACAAGGTCACTTTCTTTTTGAAGCATGACCAACAGCAAAGACATAAACAGGTCCAGTGACACAAGGAGAGGGAATAAGAAAATAGTAAAAGAACACTAGATGGTCAAATGCAGGTGTCTGAGGAGGATTTTTTCCATAAGCTAACAAAATTTAACTTCTTCCAGAGTCCCAGCTGGGACCCAGCAGTGTTTTCTTCACATGAAAGAAGAAATTTTTGGAATTTATAAACAAGATCTTTTTCTTTTTCTTTTTTTCCCTTTACTGCAACTCGTGGTTGATAGCTTTAATTTCCTCTTTTCAGTCTAGTTGTCTCTGTTGTGTTGGATTTACTGTAAACATTTTGAGGTCAGGCTAAGGAAAAGTTGGCCTGGAGGATGCCTTTAGTTTTAGTTTAGTATTGTTTGTAATAACCATTTTTGTGTACAGTTAAATTTTTGTTAGCTATCCTACTTACTTTTAAAGGTATCTTATTCTGCTTCCAAGGGAGCCTTTATATTAGACAAATTTTAATGGCACAAAAACTTGGATCAGTAGACTGGAGGAGTTCAAAGTCTAGGGCCTAAAGTGGGAAGGAATCCAATAATAAACAAGCTGACTTAGGCTGCAGAGTTCTGGGGGAGGCTTAGGAAGAGTGAATGTTGAATTTGGGGAGGAGTGGATCTCTGTGTGCCTAAACTGTTTGAAACTGTTTGAAACCAGAACTGTTTGAATACATGGGAAGCAAATTGTTTTCCTTAATGCAGAGCATGCACTGCTGTCCTCGCCTTCAGAAAGCTGAGGGCTTACTAAGAGAACTTGGACTTGGAGCCCTGGCACCAGGCAGAGTTGAGGTTAGAAGTATGACTCTACAGTAGGAACAGAATTCAGCTACAGTAAATGGATAGGAATAGATTCCTTCTTCCTATCCTGTGCTCTTTTTGCCTATACCAGTGTTGATAGGCAGTACCTTGAGGGTAACTGACTAGGTTAAGAGAAGGACCTACAGGTCTTTGGTGGACCCTGATTGAAACAGCTGGCTACTTCATTGTCTCATGCTGAAGCCTATCAGTAGTTATTGGTCTACTACCAAATAGTGGTCATAGCTTTTACTCCTTACCTGCTTCCCATTTGACAGTGCTGGGAATTAAACCCAGGGCCTTGTGCACATTAGGCAAACACTTTGCCATTGAACTAGCATGATTTCTTGCTCTTGTATAATAATAAATAAAGGGATATCCAGGCAATTCTAAATGTATAGTTAGCAGCTTTTGAAGAACTTTGGTTTTCTGTGGAGGAGCCACTGCTTTTAACTGTCTTGGTCTATATGTATTGCTATAGTGTTCACTTGTTCTAGTGGAACACTGAACAGAGGGAAAGCAGCCAGCACCGTTGACAGTGTTGAGTCTCATCCAAATGCTACAGAGTTCTCTTATGAATTCCCAGATCTGAACTCTTTACTACTAATTTATTGTTGGTTATTCAACATAGGGGCAAATGTAAGGGATATCAAAGAGTATGTCTTGGTTTTCTTTCTATGCCTTGATATATTTATGATGTTAAAAAAATACAGTAGTTTAAAATACTTCTCCCATCTCTCCTAGTGATAAATGCTGCTCACTCTTTCTACAATGGAACAACCACTCTACCAATCTCAGATGAAGACAGGACCCCACGAAAAAGAATTAGCAAAACATTAAATATGACTACAAGTCCTGAGGAAAAAAGAAAAATCATTGGTGATACTTTTGTTAAGGTACCTTCCTGTCTTTCTTTGTTTCTCTAACAGGGCTTCACTGTGTATCCCTGGCTGTCTTGGAACTTGCTTTATAGACCAGGCTCAGAGATCCACCTGCCTTTGCCTGCTGAGTGCTCGGGTTAAAGGCACCACCATGCCTGGCTAAGGTATCTTTCTTTCAATGTGTGCAATGTTCATTGTTTTATGTGAATTTTAGTGTGTTTTTATCACTATATCAGCAAAATTAGCTAATTTTATTTTCTAAGATACATGTAAAGTGTGTGTGTGTGTGTGTGTGTGTGTGTGTGTGTGTGTGTGTGTGTGTGTGTGTGTGTGTGTGTCCTACTGATAGAAACTATTTTGGTTCAAAAAGCATGCATGTTGCCAAGATGATGATTTAGGCATTTAAGAATGGACCTTTTTGCTGGCACTGCACTTCTATTGGGTTTACCAGTGGCCAGATTTCAGGAAGTGCTGAAGGGAATGTTCATGTATTTTTCAGTCACACACAATGTACATGTTCGGAAATTTAGTTTTCCTAGTTTGATGGATCCAATTTCCTGGCTGGCTATGCAAAGACTCAAATTTCATTAACTTTGTTGAAAAAATTCATTTCTTAGAAGACTGTTCTGCTTTCATTGATAACAGATTGCCAATGAAGTAATTGGAGAAATGAGTTTGAAGCCAGAGGAGGTTTTTCTTGCCCAAGGTACTTTACGGCCTGATCTAATTGAAAGTGCATCCCTTGTGGCTAGTGGCAAAGCTGAACTCATCAAAACCCACCATAATGACACGGAACTTATCAGAAAGCTAAGGGAAGAGGTAAAGGCTTGTGAGAACCTTTCCATAACGTGTATACACAAAACATTAACCTTTTCCTCCATCCTTTCTCCTTCCCAGGACTTGCAAGGGTGACTAACAGTCACCACTAACTAATTATAGATCATGTATATTATCCTCAAAAGGAACTCAGTGCATTTGTGCTCATTAGCAGTCATTCTTCCTTCTAACTTCATTCTTCTTTCTAACTGTACCCTACCCCATCTCTTCTTGTCAACTCAAGACAACTATCCACTGGTTTTGTTTTGTTTTGTTTTGTTTTTTAATTTATTTTTGGAGACATGGTCTCTGTATATAGCCCTGGCTGGCCTGGAACTTGCTATGTAGGTCAGATGGGCCTCAAACTTAGAGATCTGCCTGCCTCTGTCTCCCAATGCTGGGATTAAAGGCCACCGTGCTTTGCAAACCACTAATTTCTACTTCTGTAGTTTTCCTCATTTTAGACACCTTGTGGCCTTTTATTCTGGGGTTTTTGCTTTTTTTTTTTTTTTTTTTTTTTTTTTTTAAGATGGTCTCCTGTATCTCTTGCCTCTAACTTGTTATGTAGCTGAGGCTGACTTTGGTGACCCTCCAGCCTCTACCTCCTGAATGCTATGAATACAGGCATGGTCTACCATGCCCAGCTAGTCTCTTAACTTATATATTTTCAAGGTTCATTTGTGGCATAATGTAACATTCCTTTTTATAGCCAAATAATATTCCATTTGTATATGTGTTCACATTTTTTATTTGGTGGACATTACCCATGTAGGCTGTTAGAAATGATGTTATAAATATTAGTTGCAAATTCTTATAAACATTCATTTTCTTCTAGTGGATATCTAGGTATAGAATTGCTAAAATAGCATATGTATTGTAAACTCATCACTCACGAAGTCTAGGCAGGAGGATCTAAAGTTTCATGGCCATCTTCAGCTACATACCAGGTTAAAATCCAGGATTATAGGTGACTCAAAAACAAAATAATTCCTAAATTTTATATAATGACTCTTCAACATTTTAATTTCCTGTTAGACTGTTGTCCAAAATGCTGAATTTATACATTCCCACTGGAAAGATTTAAAAATTTTCATTTTCCATATCTTGTCAAGACTTACCTTTTTTTTTTTTTTAAATTGTTGTATAAAACATAAAATAAATCCCATCATCTAGAGTAGAATAGTAGAATCTCTGTAGAGATTCTAGGTAGGTTTCTGTAACTTGCTCTGATTGCAGAACTAAAACTTTTGTTCCTCCCCTACTGTCTGATAACCACCTTTCATGGTAATTTCTATTTGACTACCTTGTGTACTTGGTATAGTGGTATCATACAAGAGTGTCTTCTCTTTGCTTATATACTGTGTTTTAATTTGATATGATTTAGAATCATTTTCTCTGGAGCTGGAGAAATGGCTCAGCAGTTAAGAGCACTTGGCTGCTTCCAGAGGACTGAAATTCAGTTTGCTTCCAGAGGACTGGAATTCAGTTCACCCACATGTCAGTTCATTCATAGTCCTCTGTAACTCCAGTTCCAGGGCATCTGATGGTCATGCAACTGGTGAATGTACATACATGCAGGGCAAAATACCTATACACATAAAATAAAATATATATATTTCTTCCCATCATTTTTTTAGAAAAGTTTAATTTTTTCCCTTGTTTTTGTTTATTTATTTATTTTTCTTTTAGACAGGGTTTCTCTGTGTACACCAGGCTGGCCTAGAACTCAGAGATATGCCTGCCTTTGCCTCCCAAGTGCTAGGATTAAAGGTGTGCACCACCATATCCATCTCATCTGGGAAAACTAAGCACTAACATTAATTTTTCCAATTGTCTTGTGTCATATGAGAAATAGATGAGAGCTGGGAGGGTTGTTTTCTTTTTCTTTTTTTTTTTTTTTTTTTGATTTTTTTTTTTTTTTTTTATGGATTGGGATATTTTGTCTGTATGTATGTCTGTGCGTCAGTGAGCCATCTCTCCAGCCCCTGAATTTGCCTTTATTCATAAGACTTTCAAGGGTTTTACTTTAAAATGTGTTTCAGCAAACAATATAAATGCCACAAAAAATAAATATTCACCTAATTCCTTCTAAAGCTTCATAGAAGAAAGTATTTTAAAAGATAAAGTCTAATCTTTTAATTGGTCCCATTTTCTCCTTGTAGGGAAAAGTAATAGAACCTCTGAAAGATTTTCATAAAGATGAAGTGAGAATTTTAGGCAGAGAGCTTGACCTGCCAGAAGAATTGGTTTCCAGGCATCCTTTTCCAGGTAAAACCACACTTGGGGTTCGTTTGGCTGTAGAGCTTCTCGTGGATTCAGTTCAGACCATTCTGAATCGTTTGGCTTTTTTAGAAATATGTGACATGACAGAAGGGAAAGGATGACAGGGAATAAATTTTTTGTGTTTGTACTATTATATGACTAATTTTCTTCTGTGCTTGTATTTAGATACTGTATGATTCCTGGGAGTCTGGCAGATAACATTGCTGTCAGATGAGGAGATGGAGCACAGAGATATTTTGATAACATTTCTATATAATTCTTAGTGGTAGATCTAGGGTTTTTATAACATAAATGATGTATATATCATTTATTCCATGGAAAGTAGAGATAATTAAAATCTGTGTCTCCCCCCCCCCCCCTTAAAGATAGGGTCTCTTAAAAAAAGTTAGATTCCCCTCACCCCTACCTCTCCCAGGTTGCCTTGGATGCCCTTGGTTCAGGTGTTTCTCCTACCTCAGCCTCTCATGTAGTCACTGCCAAATCCTCTCTTAAGTTTTTTTATGCAGCATCTTGTTTGAATGCAAGAACTTCTTCCTTCATATGTAAAGCACTCTTTGCACTATGTTTGTTCTGTGTTACTAATTCATGGACATCAAAAAAGTGTTGGTTATTTGGTATGTCAGAAAAAATAGTGATATTTAAAGGTAACATCATGACATGTGATTTGTTTATTCTGACATAGTTTCAGACAGAAACCTGTTTAGCTCTCTATAACAGGTGGTGGAAGAATAGTCTAATTAATTAAAAACATAATGATACCACAGCATGGTGGCACATTGCTTCAATCCCTGCACTTGGGAGGCAGAGGCAGGCAGATCTCTATGAGTTGAGGTTTACATACGAAGTTGTAGGCTAGCTAGGGTCATGTAGTAAGACCCTGACTTTAAAAAACCAAAACCAAACAAACAAAACAAAACAAAAAAACATTAGTATTTTGGAAATACTGTGACAACACCGTGCTAAATGTTCTTAAAGTACTGTCTTACTTGATCCTCTCACACACAGAAATAATAACCTTTATTCTGTCTTATGGATGAGAAAACTTCTGGGTGAGGACAGTTTTCCAAAAACTGGACAGAAAGCACCATTTTAGAGGTTTTTTTTACTTTTAACGGCTACATTGCCTTCATGAACACTGTTAGAAGTAATTAGCACTTGATATAAAAATCCAGTAATTCAAGTTCTTCAGTCCTTAAATGTATACCAACAAAAGATAGTGGGTGCAAGTTGGCCCTGTGCCTTTGGACATCATTTTAGCTAGGCTTGTGTGACTGATATATTTTAAATCTCGTGAAATTTCATTGGCAAGAACATTTTAGCTGCTTTACTAATCTTGATGTTTATTCTAAAACTTGGAATGAGGCTGAGGACCACTAATGAAATAATATTAGGCTTTCATTTTGATTATAGGCATCTCAGCATCTCGTGTTCTTTTTTTATTATTTATGCTTTAGTTTTAGTTTTTTTTTGTAAAATTTTGCTGCGTGTGTGTGTGTGTGTGTGTGTGTGTGTGTGTGTGTGTACGTACATGGGCGTGCCAAGTGCCTAAATAAGATGAGGTGAGCCTCTGGCTATTGTACTGGGAAACGAAACCTGGTCCTCTAAAGAGCAACAGTGCTCTTAACTGGTGAGCAGTCTGCCTGCCACTCAGCCATCTGTCTAGTGACTTTCGTTGGTAACTAGAAGTGCTAGCTCACATCTTTGCATTAAGCAATATTTAGCAATATTTTCAGGTTTTTTTTTTTCTAAATTTAAAACAACATATGAGTCAAGGTGGTTATCATTATTTTTCTTTACATTTATGTATGATGGAAAATTTCCTTAATAAAGAGATTTCCAGTAAATTGGCATATATTGCGTTACTTCCTGAGGAAAATTTTTGTGAGACTATGTTAGACAAGTGGGATGGGAAATTAATACCAACACTTAAAACTAAATGCCTTGTGTTTATTTTTTTTTGGTTTAATTTTTCCTTGTACATGCTAAACATTGGCTCTACCAAAGAATTATATTCTCAGCCTTGAAATTTAGTGCTAGGAGTCAATTAAAATTGAATACCTTGTGTTCATTTAAAGGGTTTTATGTCTTAGAGTTACTTTCAGTTTTATATTCAAATTGTCATTATAAATTTTATGTTCAAAATTATTGTTATTTGTAGGTCCTGGCCTGGCAATCAGAGTAATATGTGCTGAAGAACCTTATATTTGTAAAGACTTTCCTGAAACCAACAATATTTTGAAAATAGTAGCTGACTTTTCTGCAAGTGTTAAGAAGGTAATAACTGATTTGATGTATCTGGTCAATACAAAGAACAAAGTAGATGGCTGTTTATATTCTTGTTTTAAAATGAAGTTTTTAAAATTTGTTTAAAAATTCAGAACACTACTTACTTGTAGTGACTGTCTAGAGAGTATAACACAGAGACTACTAGTCTTATTTTGGTCTGTCTAACCAAAATAAGACTGTATCGCTCCTGTCCTTGAAAGGCCTTAGGACCGTTTCCTTCCTCCTTGACCAGCCCTGATAGGAGGGTTTGTAACCTGTTTTGCTCTGTACAGATGATATCCCTGGGAAGAGGGCTGTTCTTTTCTAAAGGGAAATGGTGGAGGAGTGGATTGGGGTGGAGGTGGGGTGGGGTGGAAGGTGGGGGGGGGTGGCTAGTGGGAGGCCTGGGAGAAGTGGAGGTATGCAAAACTTAGTTTGGGATGTATTATATGAGAGAAGAATAAAAACAAAAAACAGGGATGGCCATGGTACACACCAAGCTGTCTTAAGAACTAGAGCAATAAAGTCATAGATAAGAGCATTTATTACCAACAGCCCTATTGTTTTTTTGTTTTGTTTTGTTTTTTAGGAATTTAAGGCACTGTTTTTTCCTACTATTATGAAGTCATCTGAAGGAGATGAATTTTTTGTGTTGTTGTTCTTTTTATCCTTTAAAAAAAATAAGCTGTATTATAAAAACTTGGAATAATGAGCATCACCCACTGAAAGTAATCAGAGCCAACATGTATACACCTCAGTGAGTGAACTGTATAATTATAATATCCAGTCTAAGGTTGTGGAGCTTCACATTGGATTTTACACTTTGACTACTGAATGTATTTTTAGCCACTTATCTAGTACCAAAAATGAAGTCCAGGACACCTAGAAAAATAGTTAGCTTTATATCTTCTTTTTACTTATGCCCATTACCTGCATTCAGTCAGTCCTTTGCCATCTCCTAGTATTTAGACTTTCTCATGGCAAAGAGAACAAGAAAGGCTAAATTTAAATACTAATTATTTTATCAGAATAGTCATGATCCTCTCCTTCATTTTCCCGAGTGCTAGGACTCTAGGTGTGTGCCACATCTGGCTCTAAGGGAGCTTTTGAAGTAAATACTTGCCCATCTCTAGTATTTCTGACATTGTTAGTCTGGGATCTGTAGCTGTGGTTAGGAACCACTCCTAAGGCACTGGCTGTAGGAAAAGCAATGAGATAGAAGATATTTAACCTACAAGAGATATTGATAAGCAAATAAAGTTGTAAATGAGTGAAATGGTCACGAACTTGGACTTCATAAAACAGTTAACTCCAACAATATATTTATTACTGTTTAAAACTAAGAAGATATAAAGCATTAAAAGTTTTTGTATCGCCAAAAGGATAGAAAGGTTGATTCTTTTTCAGTGTCGTGTTAATACTTAAAGGGAACTGTATGAATAGTAATGAGGGATTTAACTTCAAACCAATAAAAAGAAATAAATGAGCTGGGAGAATCACCAGTTCAGAAAAGAACAAAGGGATAAAAATAGAAATGGGGAAAAAAATAGATGATAGAAAAGTAAAAATCTCTCCAGGTGGTTGGTGGCTCAAGCCTTTAAATCCCAGCACTCGGGAGACAGAGGCAGGCGGATCTCTGTGAGTTCAAGGCCAGCCTGGTCTCCAGAGCGATTGCCAGGATAGGCTCCAAAGGTACACAGAGAAACCCTGTCTCGTAAAACCAAAAAAAAAGTAAAAATCTCAATGTATATAAATTTAATTTCTATTTCATATCCCAGAAATTTCTGGTAAAGTATGTAGCACAAAGCACATACTACATGATCTGCTTTTAAAAACAATGGTACAAGTACATAAGATTATGGAGGCCTTATATCTTGCTATGTGAAAAGAAATGTCTTTCTTTTCTCAGCCTCATACCCTGTTACAAAGAGTCAAATCCTGCACTACAGAAGAGGACCAGGAGAAGCTCATGCAGATTACAAGTCTCCATTCACTGAACGCTTTCTTGCTGCCGATTAAAACTGTGGGTGTGCAGGTGAGTCAGTGAGGTCACTCATTGGGATGGAACTTGTGCTGCTTGTTTTCACAAAGTTGGAATTTCTTTGGAAAATTAAATGTGAAATTATATTCCAAGTTTAGAAAGATAAAAAGTTTTAAAGATGGTTATGAAGTGAATGAGCTTTTAAGAACTGAACATTTTTGCAAAGATTTTGTAATTATAGAATATGTTTTTGTTTTTCCTCTAGCCAAACGTAAAACATACAGAGAACCTTTTACTTCATGGTTGGTTAGTTTATTTTTCTTTTAGAAGCAGAACCAAAAGGGTAGGTCCTTATTTATCTCTATACTTAGGAGATACACTGTGACTCGAGAGCCTTTCTTTCTTTACCTGCAAGAAGGTATCAGATGAGTAAATACATGTTTAGCTTGTGGTCGAGGATTGACAGTAACACAACACAAAAACGCACACTTATTTAAAACACTGGGATTTTACTATGGTTTTTAAAAGTTATTTTTGTGTGTATACATTCATATGCCACAGTATGTGTGTAGATCAACTTTTGGCCATCACTTCTCTCTTTCCATGTTGTGGAGCAGTGTCCTTTGTTTCTGCCATATTTCATACTAAAGGATAGCTGGACTGAACTTTGAGTGATTCTTTCCCATCTCCCATAAGAATGGGTAATATCACACGAATACCATCCACCATATTTATTTATTTCTTCATAGGACATGAATTCCAGGGATTGAGCTGAAGTAGTTAGGCTTGCATGGCTAGCCACTTTGCCTGCTGAGCCATCTCACCTGCCTGTGGTTTTGCTGTAATTTAATTGTATGTAATTCGAATGTTCACTTTGTTGATGACAGCTATTGTGCTGCAGTGTCCAAAGGTTGGTTTGCCTGAATGTTCTAAGATTGTGATTGAAGATTATATAGGCCAGTGTTACTCCTTTCTGTGTCTTCTCTTCTTAGCTGTGATATATAGCTTTTTAAATTATTGTTCTGCCTTTCTAGTTGTGAAAAAACATGTGAGGATAATAGTTGGGTTTTGTAATGCTGTTCATGAAAAAAACCACAGTAAGTGTTGACATCGGGACCCTTCAGGGGGTTTCTGGTCATAAGAAGCTAAGGAAGCTTCTTTGCTGTTACTTTGTTCAGTGGAAACTAGAAAAATAGCCGTAGCTCAGAATGGTTCTTCCCTTCTAGCTTTCCACTGTGTGCAAGAGTTGTCCACATCAGCAAGAATCACAGCAGTGGGTACGGTTTCATCAGAGAGCCTTCATAGTGGAATTATTTATAGGAACAGATTATATTACTGTTTTTGTCTAATGCTGGAACTTTATTTTAAACTCATTGGTCTGAGTTTTAAATCCTTCCTTTACTGAAATCCACGTATAATTTTCATATTAAAAACGACAGGCCAGCAAGGTGACTCAGGTAGTAAAGGCATATGCTGCCAAGCCTAATGACCTGAATTGGAACCCTGCAACCCAAATGGTCAAAGAGGAGAACCAACCAACTCCTGAAAGCAGTTGCTGACCTGTGAAGTGTGTCTTAGCATTTGTTCACTTGCAGATAAACACAAAGCTAGTACGTTAGAGTCGATGAACCAGTTTTGTTTGCAGAACACTTGTCTAGTTTTCCTTCCTTTTAAAAAGCTGCTCTTGCAGGTTAATGTTTTTACATGGCTATTAATATTGGAATTGTGTGACTAATTTTCTTTCAGTGGCTCATGCATTGTTTCATTTATCATACATATGTTTATTTTGAGGTTGCTTTGATATTTACAGGCAGGTATCTGCAGTATAAAAGTAAAAGATAGGTTTTTCTTTAAACTTTCCCCAGTTCTTATGTGACACGTGGGGTTCAGTCCCAACACAGTTACCAATAGTAAAACTTTAAACACTTTAGCATCTACTCAAGAAACTTATGTATTTGCAACTCCTGTGAGATAGGGAATTATGTTGAAATAGTTCCCCGATATGGTTATTGCAAAGAAGTTTTTAATTGTTAAGATAAATATTCGTTTGAGGCATTTGTTTGATGGCTGAATTCTTTTTTAAAAAATGCACCGCATGAATGCAGTATCCTTAAAAGCCAATAGAGGGAGTTGGATCCCTTGGAACTGGAGTTCCACATGATGGTTTCATGTGGTTATGGGAACTGAACCTGGGTCCTCTGCAATAGCAGCCAGTGCTCCTTAACCACTGAGTCATCTCTCCAGTCCTTATTTCTTTTTTGAAATGAAACTCACCTGGCTTGATAGCTCATGCCTGAGATCCCAGCTCTTGAGAAGCTCAGACAGAAAGATTGCCATGAATTTGAGGCTGACCTGGGTTACAAAGTAAGATTGTTTCAATGCCCCCTCTCTGAAAAAGAAATAAAATTTACCTAGGGTCTTTGAAAGTTCCTAACAAAGTTGCCTTAGTTGTTAGCTACCCAATTTTATTGTTCAAATAACCCATGTAGGCCCAGATAAAAGTAGTACTATCAGGATTATTCTGGTGTTGGTCTAATTTTTTTCTAAATGCCAAAGTTAACTGACTTTGTAAAAACATAAATACTTTAAAAAAAACACCCTCCATATTTTGGCTACTGAGATTTGAGAGAGAGGGAGGGGAGGGGAAAGGAGGGGAGGAGAGGGGAGCTTTTTTATGTGAGAGAAAACATGCTACATTTGTCTCTTGATACCCTGAAGATCTTCACTTTTATACACTTTCATGAAAATGTCAGTTTTTCATTCTTCATTACAATAGAATAAAATTCCATTGTGGACAAATTATCAAATATTCTGTTTTTTTTTTTTTTTTGTTTTTAAAAGATCTATTTATTTATTATGTATCCAGTGTTCTGTCAGCATGTATGCCTGCAAGCCAGAAGAGGGCACCAGGTCTAATTACATATGGTTGTGAGCCACCATATGGTTGCTGGGAATTGAACTTAGGATGTCTGGAAGAGCAGTCAGTGCTCTTAATCACTGAGCCATCTCTCCAACCCCCTATTCTTTATCCTTTTATCATATAGGTTACTTCTGTACTTGGCTGTGCATTGTAGAGCAATAAATATGGTTGTGTGAATATTTTTTTGTGGTATTGTTGAGACAGGGTTACCCTGTGTAGTCCTGGAACTCACTTGTAGATCAGGCTGTCCTTGAACTCATATAGATCCACCTGCTTCTGCCTCCCGAATGCTGGTACTAAAGGCATGCACCACTACTCTGGGCTCTTAATGTGGAGTTTTAAAAGTTGGATTTACCTGAAGTAGAGAATGTTGAGCACCTTTTTGAATATTTACTAGTGATTGTAATTCTTTGAAAATTGATTTCAGTAACCCATTTATTGAGTGACTGATTTGTGGTTTGTTTTTTTGTATGTAAGATATTCTATCCCATTCTATAAGCTGTTTATTCATACCACTTAATTGTTTCCTATTTTGTATAGAAGCTTTTAAATTTAATGCAGTCCTATTTGTCAGTTAATGGGGATTATTGCTCCTATATTGGAATCCTTTTCAGAAAGTTCTTCTCTGTACCGGTAGCTACTTCACAGGATTAATTTTCAACCGTATGCACATGGATGGCCTTTCCACCTTTTGTGGTTTTTTTTTTTTTCATTCTCTTAATTTTCATCGTAGTTGTCTTTTATGTTCTTGGTTAGTTTGGTTCCTAGGTATGGTTTTTTGAAGTTAACGTCATCTCAATGTCCTGATTTCTTAGTCAACAAGTTTTAGTATATGAAAATGTTACTGATTTTTATGTGTTGGTTTTGTATCCTATTACTCTGCAAAAGTGTTGATCAGATCTGATAGTATTCTGGCAGTCTTTAGGGTCTTTTCACTATTGGGTCATCATTTTAATTTGTTTTCTTATTTAATATTTCTTCCTTATTGCTGATTTTTTTTCACCCATTTTCCTGCTCTTTTTCCTCTGTGTTGAGTACTTTTCCCTTCTCTGTGTCCCAGATGGAGTTCCATCAGTTTGCCTTAAACAGCCTAGTTTAGCTTTGGAGCCTATCCTGGTACACGCTCTGGAGACCAGGCTGGCCTTGAACTCACAGAGATCCGCCTGCCTCTGCCTCCTGAGTGCTGGGATTAAAGGCGTGTGCCACCAACGCCCGGCTTTTAAAGATTCTTTTCTTTTCTTTTCTTTTTTCTTTAAGATTTTGTTTATTTATTATGTATACAGTCTTCTGCCCGCATGCCAGCATAGGGCACCAGATCTCATTCAAGGTGGTTGTGAGCCACCATGTGGTTGTTGGGAATTGAACTGAGGACCTCTGAAAAAACAGTCAGTGCTCTTACCGCTGAGCCATCTCTCCAGCCCTGCCTAGTTTGTTTTTGTTCCTCTGTTTCTCTCTCTCTTTTTTTTTGACTAAGGAATTCATAAAGTCCAGGCTGGCCTTAGACTCTACATAATGGAGGCTGTTCTTGAACTTGCCATCTTCTGCCTCTACTTGCAAATGCTGGGATTACAAGCAAGTGCCAGCACACTTCATTGAACAGCCTACTCTTGAGAGCTCTATTCTAAGTACCACTTAGAGAAGGAAAAAAACTACTTTATGAGTATCAACATCAAATGATACAGTATATAAAAGTATATTTAAACTTGAGTAAAGCCCATTAATATATCACCAGTGATGATAAAACTGAAAAAAATATGGGCAAAACTATTTTATCGTATGCCATAGAATTAAAAATCATTTAGGGTAAAGGAAAAATAGTGAATGAGATCAAAAGAGGAGGCAAGGAAAGGAGAAAAACCGAAGTAAGGTTAAATAAAAGAAAGGAATAAGAAATAGAGAAGAATGTTCTGAGGGGGAAAAGCACAAGCGATTATTTTTAAAACTAGCAAAGAAAAACCAAGAATAGATTTCCTAATGGTGAGGGGGAAGATACATGACCAATTTTATATAATTAGGAGGGGAATTAAAAAACAAACAACAACAAAAACTCCAAGCAAACAAAAACAAAAGACAGCTGGGTGGTGGTAGCCCCCTCCTTTAATCTGGACTTCTGGAGTTTGAGGCCAGCCTTGTCTACACACGTGGTTCTAGGACAGCCAAAGCTACAGAGAAACCCTGTGGGGATGGGGGAATCATAAAAGCAAAGAAATAACAAGCCGAATCACAGTGAAAAAAAGAGAGAATAACTACTTAAAACATAGGGGCAAAAATAGAAGTACCAGCTTTTTTTGTGGAACTTATACGGTTGGCTGTGTCAAGATGAAGCTGAATATATCCTTCCTTGCCATTGGCTGTCAGAAACTCATTGAGGTGGACAATGAATGTAAACTTCATACAGTCTATGACAGGCACATGACCACAGAAGCAGCTGCTGATGCTGTAGAGAAGAGTGGAAGGGTTACATGGTCTGGATCAGTGGTGGGAATGGCAAATGAGGTCTTTTCATGAAGTAGGTTGTCTTGACCCACAGCAAAAGTGTGCCATCTGTTGAATAAGGTGCATTCTTGTTATAGAACAAGGAAAACTGGAGAGGGGAAGTACAAGTCTGTTTGCAGATGCATTGTGGATGCTAGTGTGAGTGTTCTCAACTTGGTTATTGTGTGGGTGTGTGTGTGAGAGAGAGACAGAGAGAGACAGAGAGAGAGAGAGAGAGAGAGAGAGAGAGAGAGAGAGAGAGAGAGGAGAGAGAGATTCCTTAGCTGACATACTCCTGTGCTTGGCAGTTAGCATTCAAAAAAACTAGCAAGATCCAAAACTCTTCAATCTCTCTAGAGAAGATGATGTCCAACAATATATTGTCAGAAGGTCCTTAAACAGACAAGGTAAGAAGCCCAGTACCAAAGCACCCCAAATTTATTGTCTTGTTAATGCACGTGTGTAGTAGAGAAGTGCTGATCCAGGCAGGAAATGACATAGCAAGGAGACTCATATTTAAGTGAAGGAGAAACAATAAGGGTCCTTTTTCCTGTTCACCTCCTCCAGCAGCAGGATGTGAGCCACCGGCAAGGAGGGACGCCAATAAGGTGTCCAATAAGATAAGTCTTATAAAATATATAGATGTATGATAATTGAGACTGAGCTAACAGATGAGAATCCTAGTCATTGGCCAAGCAGCATTGTACCTAATACAAGTTTCTGTGTATTTATTTGGGCCTAACTCGGGCAGTCGGCTGGCATAAAGCGTACACGTGGCGGTGGGGCTCAGCGGCTTTTGGCGGAGAATGGTTGTGTCCTGCAACACAAGTGCCAGTGTTCTTCTCTGAAGAAACAGTGCACTAAGAAAAATAAGGAGGCTGCAGAAGAATATGCTAAACTTTTTACTAAGAGAATGAAGGAAGCCAAAGAAAAAACACCAGGAACAGATAGCAAGAGATGTAGCCTGTCCTTGCTGAAGAGCTTCTACTTCAAAGATTGAGTCCAGTTAAAAACAAGTCTTTAAAAGAAACAGATAAGTAATTTCTTGAAAAAAAAAAAGTACTAAAATATCTACTAAAATGCAGCAAAAAGAAAAATGGAAGCACCATGGACAAATAAAAAAATAAACATAAAAATATTAGGGGCTCGGAGGATAGCTCAATAACCAAGAACATTTGCTCCTCTTATAGAGGACCTGAGCAGATCCTATGTTACCCTATTCAAAATGCCAAATAACTCTGTGGCCTCTGGTCTCCCCTCCAACAAAAATCATTTTAGAAAGATAAAGTGTTGGAGCAGTCTTTTTTTCAGCTTGGAGAAGGGTAGTTGCACAGGGGAGGTGGAACACTGAAGCATGTGGCCTACATCTCCTGTTCTCAAGCAGGTGTGTTAGGCAACTAAACCTTGCAATTGGTCTAGGTGGGGCCTCCCACCCATCTTAAGATTCTTCATTGTGTGTCCTAGGATGTTCTTTGTTCTGTCTGGGGTTATCTGTCAAGTACAGATCTGTGCTGTGGAGAACTACTGCCTTCTTGCCACCATACCCAGCTACTGCCATGTTTTGGTGCACATATATATTGTGTTTCAAGTCTGCTCTTGAAACATTTTACTATTGCTCTGTATTCAGGTTATTCAACTTTAACTTTGTGAGTTTATATCCTTGATCAACCAACCCTTCCTCATCCTTCTCGTGCCTCCCTCCTGGCACCACTGTTGTACTCTCAATTTCTGTAAGATCAACATTTAAGATTCTGTGAGTGTGATCGTGTGGTACTTATGTTTTGGTGCCCAACTTCATATAATGTAAAGATCTCCAGTTTTGCCCTTATTGTTACAAAGGAAAAGATTTCACTTTTTTAATGGCAGGATAACATTCACTGTGTGGATGTCACTGTCTTAATCAGTTCAATTGAATGGTTCAGTTGTTTCCAATATCTAAGTTAGTATTTTAAGTTTATTTTTAAACAAAAGGCTTATTGAGCTAATCAATAAATACAATATAGGTAGTAGATCTTCCTGTCAAGCTAAATGTATTGGTTTGCCATAGTTGGGTAGCCATTTGGAATGACAGCCACGTGGACCTCTGACACATTTCATAAATTCTTGAAATGGCCAGGCATTGGTGGTGCACGCCTTTAATCCCAGCACTTTAATCCCAGGCAGAGGCAGGCGGATGTGAGTTTGAGGCCAGCCAGGTCTATAGAGTGAGTTCCAGGACAGAAAAACCCTGTCTCTAAAACAAAAACAAAAATTACATTCTTGAAATATCCATTAGGGTTCCTTTGTTACTAAATTGATCCGGATTGTTTTTTTTGTTGTTGTTTTCCCCCAAGGCAGAGTTTCTCTGTGTAGCTTTAGAGCCTGTCCCGGCACTTGCTCTGTAGACCAGGTTGGCTTTGAACTCACATAGATCTGTCTGCCTTCACCTCTCAAGTGCTGGGATTAAAGGTGTGAGCAAGCACCTTTAAGCAGTAAGGTGGTTTCTAATAAAGGATGTTTTAATTTGGGACTTTAATTTAGTTGTATCACTAGACAAATAACCTAGAATATATTTTACAGATATAGTTTAAAAACAAAACAAGTTACTATTAATAGTGTCACTGTGGAAAATAGTTTCTGACGCATCTTTTGACTTAACTGTTAAAAATTGATTATATATATATATATTTTTTTCAGGGTGACTGTCGTTCCTACAGTTATGTATGCGGAATTTCCAGTAAAGATGAACCTGACTGGGAATCTCTTATTTTCCTTGCCAAACTTATACCCCGAATGTGTCATAACATTAACAGGTACCTTCTGCAGGTGGCAGAGGAGATGGGTGTGTGTGGATGAAGTATAGTGGAGTATATACATTTTAAGGCCTTTGGTTAAGGGAGACTAAAAGGCTTTTGGTACACATGTATGTAAGAGATAATAGATGAGGGATAACAATTCTGCAGCTACGGGTTTTTGTAATTATGCACTTTGGTTAACTTGTCTTTTTCTTGTGCTTTGGTTATGGTTATGGGAATATTTAATATTCTATATTTTGGTTTCATCTCTGAGTTCCTACCCTGCCTTCCTTTGGTGATGAACTGTTACCTGGAAGTATAAGAAATAATCCCTTTCCTCCCCAAGTTGCCATTAGTTATAATGTTTTATCATAGTATTAGAAACCCTAAATAAGACAGCAGCAGATTGGTGTATACTTGTGCTAGAGAACTAGATGTATAGCTTTGAACCAGTAATGTTTGTGGTCTGTTTGGTTAGGAAGACATGTTAGACCACAGGATTCTCTTACACAGATGGAGGATTTTGAGAACCCCTAGGAGTGCATCCTTGGAACAGGAGTTGTCATTGCTGGAATTAAGGGAGAAAAATACAGATTTAACAGTTTATTGTAAAAAAAAGTCTACTAATAAGAGCCACTTTTTATTTATTAAAAAACAAGTATCACATATCTTTTAATGTTTATCATAATGTAGTTTGCATACCAGAATTCAGATCATGAAAAGCTTACAGAAAATTTTTATTTGACATTCCAGACTTAAGTAAAATTGACTTGCAGTAAATTGAATGTGATCTCTTGAAGTAACAGTCTTACTTCCATAAATACAGTTATTGCTTCTTTATGTAAGATGAGACTGCACTTAACTAATAATGCAAGATAGAGGATGTTATCTGAGATTGGGTAATATTCAGATTTATGTCATGAATTATGTCAATATGTTTCCTAATCCCTGGGGAAGTCTCTCTGTCTCAGAACCAAGCAGGATTCCCTGTGTGTCTGTTTATGATGATTAGCCTGTCACAGGTAGTGGTTAAAGGTGAGGTAGCATCTGTCTGTATTATTCTTGACTATGCCAATTTAATTAGAAGCCCCTGAATTCAAAGTACTTCATCTTACAGACAGGCAGTTTAGTGTAGTGTGGTTTGTATATAATATCAGATAGAGGATATTTAACACTTCTTACTAAAAAACTCAGTTTAGTGCCAGAAGTGCTGATTAAATTCTGTTTTGTAGTTGTTTCTTTATAGTTTTATCATGAATATTACTTGCTTAACAAATATGAATTGCTTGGGGCTTCTTTTGTCTTTAGTTTGCTACAAAAACTTGAAGTGTACTTTTTAGTGTTAACCTGGAATGGTTGGTGTGTTAAAGATAAGGAGAGAGTTGGGAAAGCCAGACTTCCAAATCCACGGGAACAAGCAACCCAGAGCTGTACTGAGGTGAACCAAAGTCTCAAACACAGTTTCTCACAGTAGCATGTTTTCTCTGATGTGTTTCCATCTAGAGTTGTCTATATCTTTGGCCCACCAGTTAAAGAACCTCCTACAGACGTTACTCCCACTTTCTTGACAACGGGGGTGCTCAGTACTTTGCGCCAAGCTGATTTTGTGGCCCATAACATTCTCAGGGAGTCTGGTAAGTGACTCATTGTGTTATTACTGTATACTGAAACAACGTTTTCAGATGTTTACCCTCAATTTCTAGTAGTAGGATATAGCTTTTGTTTTTTATTGTGGGAGGTTCCATAATGTTACCTTTCAAATAGAATTAATTTATCTTTGTGACCATTTACAGACATCCAAGAGTAGCAAACAAATGTGTATGGCCATGTATTTGGTCACAGCAGCTGAGGTGGGCCACAGCACTACTCTTCTGGTTTAGGCTTGCGCATGAACGTTCTTGTCATTGTTTACTTGCTGTTGTACTTTCAATGTTTAAGGGGTTTTTTTGTTGATGACTTTTCTATTGAAGAGCTAGCTGGACTCCTAACCACAAGAAAGCTGTGGTATACCTCATCTGAAGATCCATGTGTTAAAAAAGTCAAAGCAGGTGTCATAGTTCCATTGATTGTGAGTTCCATGTTGATGGAACTAAAATAAATCTTAAATTAGGTGTCTTTAAACAGAAATACACTTTAGCTTGGTTTTACAGAGAGTCAAATTTAACTAGAGTTTTTTTGTTGTTGTTTTTAAAGATTTTATTTTATTATGTATACAACATTCTGCTTCCATGTATATCAGCACACCAGAAGAGGGCACCAAATCTCATAATGGATGGTTTTAAGCCACCATGTGGTTGCTGGGAATTGAACTCAGGAACTCTGAAAGAGCAGCCGGGGCTCTTAACCTCTGAGCCATCTCTCCAGCCCCTCTCCAGAGGTTTATAGGAACCTATCTTTATATTTCCTCTGGGAAAAGTGGGCTGGTGTTCACTAAGTTGGTGTTTACAGTATAGAATATGGGACTACCTGGGTAACAAAAATTGACTCTCCCTCTATGTATGTCTCTCATGGCTGCAACCTTGCCATGAAGAAAACATTTTTGTTTGTGTTTCTTTTGTGATGTGCTCTCAGTATATAGTTTGCGTAGCTCTCAATGGAGATCTCTGCCTCAGCCTCCCACGTGCTGAGAGTACACATGTGAACTACCACATCTACACAAAATCCTGTTGTACCCACTTTCTGTGCTGTAGAGCTTTTGAATTCAGTGTGTGATGAGTGTCTTAATGTTTGCATGGGGTAGGAGGAGAAAGACGGAGAGAGGCTGGAGATGCTTTGTAGGCATTCCTTGAGCTAAGTTAGAGTATTTTCCCATAGTGTGGTGATGATAAGCACTAACATGTTCCTTTCTCTAGGGTATGCTGGGAAAATCAGCCAGATGCCAGTGATTTTGACTCCATTACATTTTGATCGAGATCCACTTCAGAAGCAGCCTTCCTGCCAGAGATCTGTGGTTATTCGAACCTTCATTACTAGTGACTTCATGACTGGTATAGCTGCAACACCTGGCAATGAGATACCTGTAGAGGTAATTTATGTTACTTTTTCTAATATACATGTCAGTGCCTCATACTATATAGTACAGTGACACAGATAGGCTGTGACACAGTTTATGTTTTTTAGGATTGATTTTTTTATAAAATAGATTTCTCTAATTTTTCCTTCCTGTCTCCACTTAATATTTAATGCAGTGTAGCTGAAAGGGGCTTTAAATCTAATACACTTCCAGATGTCTGCTTATTCTGATTACCACAAAGAAAGTAACTGAGTTCTGCTGACTTTTACTGCTATAGTTTTCTGATATAAAGGAGACAGTACAATTATATTTTTTATTTAAAGATGGAGTCTTATGTATCTTAGGCTGTCCTTTTGAACCTCTAACTGAGGATGATCTTGAACTGATTCTCCTGCCTTTTCCTAAGCACTGGGATTCTAGGCATGTTCCTCCTTGATGGGGATTGAACCTAGGATTTTGTGCATGCTAGGCAAACACTGTAGCAATCGAACCCTACAATTCCATTTTTTTTTTTTTAAACCACTTTCCTTGTCTTTCCACTAAAGTATTCCAAAGGAGTTATTTATAAAGCAGCAGGTGAAAAGTTTAACTGAGACTTTAATTAGTTGACCTCTTCTCTAGTACACTAACATGAGACTTAGGCAGGGTCTTGCTGGATGGCTGGTTGGGGAATGTTTAACATCTGTTTTTCTTATGGCCAAGCTTGTCAGATCTTCAAGGCAGTCAAGTGATCAATCTGTCCTTGACAAGTGTCATTGTTAGAGTGCTTTGTGTGACATTTGGTAGTGTTGGGATTGTATGTTTAAGCTATATATAATCTATGAAGTATTAACACATAAAGTGACATGTTCGGATGTTATTGCAATGTCAAACCCAGACTTTTAGTCACTATTCCTATAGGGAGAAATAGATTATTTAAATTTATTCAGAGCCATCCCACTTACGTGAAGAATAATATCCAAATAGTTCATGTTTTAATTTTAAGGTGCAGGTATAAGCCTTGTAGAATTATTGAACATGCAGTGGAATCTCACTCTTTCTTGTAATTGTTTTGTAAACAGGTGGTACTAAAGATGGTCACTGAGATAAAGAAGATTCCTGGAATTTCTAGAGTTATGTATGACCTAACATCAAAGCCCCCGGGAACCACTGAGTGGGAGTAATAAATGTGTTGTTGTTGAAGAACTGTGTGCAGTGGAGGCTCATTAAAAACCACTTGTCAATGACATGCAGTATTGTCAAAAATGCTCTGAAGCAGCTACTTCATATCTGAGTTCTCATAGCAGCTGGGAATTATTAAAAGGGAATGAAGAGTTTGTATGTATGGGTAAATATCAAGGCACCATTGCCCAAATGCAGACATATTGCTCTTGCTTTTCCCTCACTTCTTATGTATGAACTCTTGATGTCTGTGATGATAGCTGACTGTGACTTCTGTCTGCTTCCTATTAGAAACATTGTTTAATACCAGTGTGATTTGCTATGTGTGCCTTTTGGAGAATCTGAATTTTCCTATAAGTAATTTCTCCAAAGGGTGAGGAAGTGCTGTATATAGCATAGAAAGGTATAAGAAAGCTGTTTAGACACTTTTAGGTAGGATACTAGGGAAGGAAAATGTAAGATACTTCAAAGATGTAGAACACCAGGAATTTATTATGTAAGTACTTACGAGTGTTACATTGTCACAGCTATGGCAGGAAGGAACTAAGTGCTATCAGTCTTTGAAACCATGTTTCATACAGATTCCATGCTTTTCACTGTCATCTTGTTAATATAAGCAAGGAGCTTTATCCTCCCAGCCTGTGTCACCTGTTCTTACAACTGTGTAGAAAGAATTCTTACACTTTTCCCAAAAGAGGCTGTCTTAGAAAAGGTTAAGATGAGAAGTTCTTTTTGTTTGCCTGGCCAGAGGACTGGGTCACAGAAGCCATGACTTGTCCCTACCACATACAAGTGGGAGAGAAAATGTTTCTATTATGTAGGAAAAAGCTGTGAAATGACACACCTAGGTCTGATGTGTGCTGCCTGCCTGTATTTGCCAGGCCTTTTTCTACTTACTAGCTTCTGGAGAGGATTCACAGCCAGTGCAGGACTTGGTGCTGTTGCCAACAGTTCCTTACAGGTTCTTTATGACAGTCATTCAAGCCTGAAACGGGGAGTAAAAGAGTTCAATTCTAAAATATTACCATGTTGTCTTATCTGCTTTTACCTTAGGTTGCTGTCTATTTCCTAATACCAATTTCTATTTGGGATCAGTGTTGAAAATAAAAGGCTATATGGCAAGTCCAGAGGATAGCCAGAAACTGCTGCTGAACCACGAGGGCAAGGTCCCTCTGTCACAACAGAAAACCAGACCTGAACAGAGTATTTTTCTTCTACGGAAGGTCAAGTGTCCATTGTCTTTCCTGGTGAGGAAGCTCTCCCAGTGGACTTCTAACAGGAAGATGATAGATTTAAGCAGATTGAGAGTTATGTTATTTCTCAATGGGAACTAGCAAGTATAAAGTGTTTTCCAATGTGTCAGTATGTTTGGTTTCATGAAAAACCTTCCTGTTGTAGCAAAAAATGTCTGTGATATAAACAGCAGGAATTAGGAAGGTTATGAATGTTCTTTCCCTAAGGTTTTTTTGTGGCACACTGCTTACTGCCATGATCTGCGTAAAACTGGTCAGGTGATCATGTACATTTAGAAGTGCTGCTCATTTGTAATCTTTGCATTCTGGACAATGGTGGTGTATATGATACTCCAGTCTTAGCTAGGAGTTAAAATGTATTTAGTATTTTTCTAATACATTCTCTTAAACGTCTTTTTATTATGTAATCCTTACTGTGGAAAAAAAAATTTCTTCAAAACATACCTGCATGTGATATAGAAGCTTTCTGGGATTGAGAGATTATGTCCATGTTTACTGTCTGTCTTCTTGTGTGACCATTTTTGCCTTGCATTGTATATAGCTTACTTGATAACATCACAGTAGTTCACCTGAACTACTGAAAATAGTTACAATGAAGGATACAAGCTCATTTTGAAAATAGTTACTAGTGACTTTTACAAACCAACTTCCAGGTTTCTTGGATGTAGTCATCCTTCCATTAATTGTATTCCAGGCCTCAGATCATAGGACCTTACGGGTTGTTTACTTTTTGCTTAGACTTTGTGCATAGTCACAGTTCTCACTTGATAGCCTGGGCTGTTTTGACATATTCCATTACTTACTTGGGAGACTTCTCTATGTAATTGTATTTTGTTTCTTTATAACTATTAGAGGAGGTAAGATTGGTGAAAATGTAATTTATTCTAAAATTGGCAGACGAGGAAATTTCAACAACCAGATAAATAGATCCTAGCCCTGGCTTAATGGACCTATCAGTGTTGGTCAGTTCTGTTGGCTGTAATATCCTGACCTTATTTTTGAGGACAAGTTTTTAGATGTATCTCAGTGACAGGATTGTATCCCCCTCCCCCTTCATCTTGGAGTAGCTGCATGTAACCATAAATCATAAAAGTTGATTTCCCTGCTCTCTTTGCATTTGGCTCCTGATGGTCAGTTTTAGTGCATTCTACTCTATATAGAGACTGAGGGTATTAGGTGAAATAGCAACCCTGTTCCTCTTGCTTTTTTGCCTTGCTGTTAAATAAATGTGTGGACCTGGACAAGTCATGTTTAATCCATTTACCTCATTTTATGAAGTTCCAACATCAAACCCAACCATGAATATTCATTCTTTCTCTGTCACCTTGAAACAGAATTTATGTGGCTCAGCCTCAAGTTCCTCATGTATTTGAGGTTGGCCTTGACTATCTGACCCTTGCCTCAACCTCCCTAGTGCTGAATTAGAGGTACATACTTCTGTGTCCAGTTTATGCTTTGCTGGGGATTGAACCCAGAGTCGTGTATGCTTAGCAAACACTACCAACTGAGTCACATGCCTAGGTGCATTCTTGTTATAAACAACAAAAACAAAAACTCATAACAAGACAGTGGAGAAGCAACATAGATAGCTCTTACACTTTTTTAAAACATTAAACACAAACCCGTATTTACCTGCCACCACCACCGACAGCTAAAGAACCATCAAATTTTGGTCATGTCAGATTGTTGAAAATGCTCATTACAGTGTTTGCAGGGCAATCTCTTTACTATATGTTTCGAAGAACTGCCAGAATATGTTTCAGCTTTGACAACAAATAGTATGCAAACTATTTACTGTTGGCAGAGCAGGAGCTGGAATTCAGACTTTCTGATTCTGTGTTGAAGAGGTAGACTTATCTTTGTACAACTAATCAGAGGTAAAGTACTGTCACAGTATTGTCTCTTCCACGAGTTCTGGAGATCCCATTACCTTTCACAAATGTTACCATATCTGAACATTTCTCACTCCCAGTGTTCTGACCTCATGCTTTTCACAGTGTTCTCTTGCATGACAACACAACACCCCTCCCCACCTATCTCTTCTTGGAGAATCTTCAGAGTGCTTGGAAGGCAAGCCTTCATGGTTGCCTCAGTAATGGATACTCCTTTAAGTCTAGATTTAACTGGAAACTGAGAACAGGTTAAATGGACTTGAGAATTCTCTCTTGTCTTGATTAAAATAGCTGTACCAGGTTATAGATGTTTACAAAGTGGAGTCAGATAGGTTGATAACCAGTAGTTTATTGGGGAAAAATACTCACACGAGAGCCAGTGACCAGGTTTGTGCCTGAGCAGGGCAGACCCAAAATTGCTTCCCAGTCAGCTCAGCCAGGTGACAGAGAACCGAGTGCTTGCCCCTCTGCTTCTTAAACCCCTTGAAAGTGGGCGTGGTCAGCGGTACCTCTAATCAGGGTTTCTCCCTACACCAGGTGGCAGAGGAAAACTTACCACATGAGGCTTTCATTGCAGTAATGGCTTTATGAACATTTAACAGCTAGATGAGGAGTTCCCAGAATATGTAGACATGCTTTGTACAGAAGAGTCATATCCCATGGAAACCTTAATCTTAAGTGGATCCATGGTTGCTGTCGCCTGAGGAAGTAAAAAACAAAAAAAACTCAGATGTGACTAAATTAGAGTAGGCTGGGGATGGTGCCCCCCCCCCCCCCCCCCAGTTTTTGGGAAGAAATTGCTATGAAGGGAAATACCTGGCCTCTTGTTAGGGTTTATACTCCTGATTTTCTCTTGAAGAGAAGATATCTACCCCTATGTTGTAGCTATCAATAGTTCTGAGACTCCTTTGTCACAAACTAAGACTGAGCTATTTCTGTACCAGCTGAGGTAGCTGTTAAAACTAGAGATGCCTTCTCAATTGGAGTCACAACAGCACTGTTGTAATTTACCTATTAAGATGTTTGTTTCCTACGAACCTTGTGGCTGCTTTTGGCCTTATTTATAAAGTGACAAGAATTTAGGGAGGGTGGTTATTTCTTTCATATGTTACATTCAGAAGCACCGAAATAGGAACTGAGGAACCTGAACTTCCAGTAATCTAGTGGAGTCATATACCTTTGAAGAACATATTCTAAGGAAGTTATGTCTTTACATCTACTGTGACTGCTATAGCCTTGACATTTATTTAAATGAAATGATTGTAAACATCCTCTGGACATATTTTTTATGTAACACCATTTTGTTAATTGAAACAGTATAGATTTTGTGAATTAATCACTGTGTAATTGTTAGTGATGTGTTGCCCTGTCTTTTATGTTGCAATGATTTGGCTATAAAATTGATTTGCTGAGTTAATGTGAAATTACTAAAATCTTTGTCTTCAGTAAATGTCATAAAGGAGGAAATCATGATTTCATAATTTGTCATTAAGTCTTGGTGTTTATAAAAATGGGAAGCTAGAGCAAAGAGGACAGGACATGTTCAGGTTGTCAAGAAATTGGATATGTTATCAATGGTTCTGTACAATAAGCTTAATCAACTTCCCATAGGTGTGTTGGAATATGTCAACAGCTTATCCAGTGTTAACAGTGGACAGTTAACAGATTTTTGGGTATCTTTTGTTAAATGATTACCTAGAGATGTGTATATGCATGTATGCTTCTAAAATTATCGGCAAACATGTTCTGAATATTCATCTTATTTAATCTCTTACAATATAGATTACTCTTACTAAACTGTTGTCTTTTGTAGTGCTGGGAGTCACACCCAGTGTGTGTGGCCTGATATGCAAGCACTTGTCTACAGAGCTACATCACAAGTGTAGCTTCTTGTTGGAACTGTCATGAACAGTACAGAGCCATCTCGTTAGAGAAGATTAGAGGAAACCATGGGCAGAACATGGTTGAGCTGATGCTTCTGACAGCCACCTGGCTCTGCTGTAGTAGTGCTCTAGTCAGTGACCTGGGATGGCCATCTGCTGTCTCAGAAATGGTACAGTCAACATTATTTTGAGAAGCTTTGCTATTTTACCGAAGCTTAAAGTGGAAAATGTTTCTGAGTGTAAATCTGAAGATTTTACAAATCAAAATTGTCATTCTCCATTTAGAAAATATTGTGTTTAACATCTGGGTAAGTCTGTTGAGACATTTGGAGCCTGTCCTGGAACTAGCTCTGTAGACCAGGCTGGTCTCGAACTCACAGAGATCTGCCTGCCTGTATCTCCTGAGTGCTGGGATTAAAGGAGTACGGCATCAATGCCCAGATCACTGGAGTAAGTTTTTTGTTGTTCATTTTTCTAATATTTGTGACTTTTATATATATTAAGGAGTTTATGTCAATTGGGTCCTAAGAAGCAAATCCAGGGATCCTAATCTAACCTTGATACTATGTTAAATCTTTAGAGTACTTTGCCTGTGTCACGTCATTGCCAAATTTTTCTTTAAATTGTTAGTGAAAATCACTTAATTCCCACATAATGTGGCTATGTAAAATGGTAGAAAACACAAGAGCCTTTTGTCAAGATTTGTTTAATTACATTACAATGATTGCCATTTACTCTAAGAAAACTGTTTGTGGAATAAAAAAATACTTAGCTAAGTGCAAGAAACTTCCATCTTGTGATTCTTTCTAATGCAGCTTTTGTTTGATTGTGAGTGATGAAGACATAATAAATGATTTAGATTTTTTATAGCATTTTATTGAGAAGTACTAAGAATTACATATATGCATGGATACACATATTTAGTGACAATGTGTTCAACAAGCTTCTCTAAAAATTTTGGAAATTGTTAAACAAAAAGAAAACATGTAGCAGTGCATTTCGAATCAGTCTCCTATTTCTGTTATCAGGTTGCAGAATGAGACATAATTGTCCTCAGTGACTGAGTACCCATGTGATGCACAACTGGTGGTTCCCAGAGTTGGTAATCAGTTCTCAGATTTTTCAGGTGATGCCATGGCTTTGAGTATTTTTGTGTTAAACAGTGCTGCTGTCTTCCTAACCTGTTTTTTTTTTCAACATTTGTCAATGATTTATTAAATTTTTAATGACAGAATCAATATAGTGGGAAGGTATTTTGAAAAATTGGCGATTTATAAGCAACTCTAAAACAAGGCTTCTAAGTGATACAAAACTAAACAATGTCCTCAGGACATGAGCTTTTGAGGTCATCTTTTGTACCACACAATCTATTTTTATCTTGCCAAACAAAGTCTATAACACATAAGATAACCAAGAATGAGCTCTCAAATAGTAATATATAACAAGGTTGAACAAAACCTCACCAAGGTATGTTTATAATCCATGGTTAAAGAGGACAACTACCTATCCTGATAAGAACCAAAGCATTTCCTGCAGTTCAGCTTTCAGCCCTAAAGCCAGGCAAGTTCCTAACCTGTTTTTGCTCCGATTTTTTGCTTAAATTAAAGCAATGAACTGTTAATTCATTATTGAATAAGAAAGTTTGTTTTTGCAAGGCAAGGTTCCCATGTAGCCTAGGCTGGCCTGGAACTGGTTATGTAGCCTCAGGCTAGCCTTGAATTCTTGATCCTCCTTTGTACCTGCACCTCCCCAGTCCTGGAATCACAAGCCTGTGTACCTAACTTGTTGAAACTTGTGGACAGATTTCATTGCTTTTCCCCTTCTCTGATCAGGCTCTTTCTACTCCGCCAATATGATGTAGAGGGCTTTCTAGATACTCAAGAGCTCTAAATGACTAGGAGTTCTGGGTACTAAATGGCATTTCTGTTTTTTATCTTATTTGGGGTGGATTGGGGAATAGGGAGCAGTGTTGAGTTATACCCAGTGCCTGTGAGTAAGGCAGGCAATGTTTCTGTGTGGATTGGATGAGTATGCATCCTAACGGCAGCTATTTGAGAAAGGCTTTATGTACAGAAAAAGAAAAAAGCTTCATCTTCTCAACCAGGGTTGATTACTAGAGGGACGTGTGTATCTGTTGGGTCCACAGCTTATCAAGTCATTACAATCTCAGGCTGATTTTTTGTAGTACTATTTTTGAGACACAGAGTACGATGATTTGTGTTTGGAGCTGCTGAGCAAAGTTAATTGAGTTCTATGTGCTCATTAAAGCTTGGCCTCTTTTTGTTAGAACCATAGGAAGATGATGAAGAAGAAGCCTGAATCCTAGGCCTCAGGAACAGATAGTGATCTTAGAAAAAAGAGAGAAGATGCCATCAAGAAGCCAAGTAACAATACCCATACCACCAATCATGGGAATAAAAGGCAGGTTTTTGTTTTGTTTTTATCCCTATAAACTTTGGTTATAGGTTATAGTTAGCGTGTTTACATTTGCCTTTTTCTTTTATTTTTTATTCTTTTGTTTTAAAAAAATTTTATTTATTTTTTTGGTTTTTCGAGACAGGGTTTCTCAGTGGCTTTGGAGGCTGTCTTGGAAATATCTCTTGTAGACCAGGCTGGTCTCGAACTCACAGAGATCCATCTGCCTCTGCCTCCTCCTGGGATTAAAGGCATGCACCACCACTGCCCGGCCACATTTGCTTTTTTTTTTTTTTTTTTTTTTTTTTTTTTTTTTTTTTTTTTTTTTTTTTTTTTTTTTTTTTAGCCAGGAACTCTTCTCCTTGGGGTAAATTCAAATGTGTGAGCTGTAAGTCAGCGTCAAGTGACATACAGTGACTGAAGGGTTCCATTTACATTTTCATCTGGAAGTTTTGCAAATGTTTCACAGAACATGCTAAAAATTACAATGTTTGCAAATAACTCTAATAGAACTCTAAAGATACTTTTTTGTTTGCATTTTCTTTTTTTAACTAAAAATTTAAATTTATTTTACATACCAACCATGATTTCCCTTCTACTTTCCTTCTGTTCCTTCCCCCTACCTCCTTTATACTGCCCCTCCATCCACTCCTCAGAAAGGGTAAGGCTTCCCATGGGAGTCAACAAAGCATAGCATATCAAGTTGAGGCAGGACCAATCTCCTCCTCCCTACATCAAGGCTGAGCAAAGCATTCTACCATAGAGAACAGGTTCCAAAAAGCCAGCTCATGAGCCAGAGACAACCCACAAACAGACCACAGCTGTCACCCACATGCACAGGTCTTAAGTTGGTTCCATAGCTGTCTAGATAGACTCCATGAGTTCTGGTCATCTGTCTCTGGCTTTCCCTATCATCATCTTGACTTCACCCTGCTCATACAATTCCTCCTCCCTCTCTTCAACTGGCCTTCTAAAGCTTGGCCCATTGCTTGGCTGTGGATCTCTGCATCTACTTCCATCAGTTACTGGATGAAGGTTCTATGATGACAATTAGGGTAGTCACTAATCTGATTATAGGAGAAAGCAAGTTCAGACTCTCGACTATTGCTGGAAGAGTAAGTGGAAAGTAGCATTGGCACAGGAGATTAATAATAATGAATTAATAATAAACACTGAGATTAATAATAAATAGGACCTCCCGAAACTGAAAAGCTTCTGTAAGGCAAAGGATACAGTCAGTAAGACAAAATGGCAGTCTACAGAATGGGAAAAAATCTTTGTCGACTCCACATCTGACAGTGGGATGATCTCCAAAAAATATAAAGAACTCAAGAAGCTAAACATTAAGCTGGAGACATGGCGGTTAAGAGCACTGGCTTAGTTGAAATCCCAGAGCCCACATGGCAGCTCACAACTGTCTGTAAATTCCAGTTCCAGGGGATATGACACCCTCACAGACATACATGCAGGCAATACACCAATGTACATAAAATAAAAATAAATTTGACAAAAAGGACAAGGCTAGATATTAAAATACCAAATAATCCATTTAAAAATGGGGTACAGATTTAAACAACTCTCAATAGAAGAATCTCAAATGGCCAAAAGAAAGAATTGTTCAACATCCTTAGCTACCAGGGAAATTCAAATCAAAACCACTTCGAGATACTATCAGAATGGCTAAGATTAAAATGCTAATGACATCATGGTGACAGAGCTGAAGGTTCACATCTTCAAATGCAAGCCCTGAGCAGACAGCAAATGCAAAGTGCAAATTCACCAAGCCCACTCCCAGTGCTATACTTCCTCCAGCAAGGCTGCATCTCCTAAACCTCCGCCAAACAGTGCCCCCAACTGGGACCCAAGCTTTTAGATTCCAGATCCTATGGGTACATTTCCCATTCAAAGTACCACAATCATGTAATCTATATACCACAAAGAGACATACAGACAACTTTATAGTTCAGTATTGTTTTCATATAGATACACCAAATACCACCACAATCTGGTTTTAGATGAAATACCTCACAGGGATAAATTAGAGGAAGTATGCTTTATTTTAGGTCAGTTTCATGATGGGGAAGCATGGTGGCTGCAGCTCTTTACTAAGTTATGGTTG